GAAGCTTGTACAAAGCAAAGACTATCACTTTAAGACTGAAACCCAAGTCTCCTTCTTTCCCTCTTCTGTAATCTGGGAAAACCTCCAGCCACTGAAGAATTTTAATTCCACTTAAGATAAGTAAAAGGTGTGCATAAATAACATATAGGTAATACTTCAGTGAAGAATTTTCTTCAATGGAGTCTTTGCAGCACTGAAACTCAAATCTCACATGCAAAGCACTGCCATGCGGGGGGAAATGTGAAAATGACTATTTTACATTGGCCAAATATAAACATCCTAAGGAATCAGATCAAGTAATGGATGTCAAAGTGCTTCAAAAACTATGAGGCATTATATAAAATCAAAGATACTGCTATTGATATTGAGTTCCAGTAACCAGCAGAAATTTGACCTTAGCATAGCAGAATTATGTAATTTTGTCACTGTATTCATCTACCATTTAATATTTTTGGTTACACTAGCAGAAAGAGTCTTCATTAGAGTGTGTTCCCCCATACATATATAATATGATGTTTCAGATCTTCAAAAGTTTGTGCATAATCCACAAGCCATTACAACAAGCAGATGAAATGTTAATCACACAGGTGAAAATGAAAGGCGTGTACTTTCTCTGTATCTAGACCAAGACAATAAAAACATGAAAAACTCTGCTGTCCAAAGTATGGTCCATAATCTTATAGTAACATAGTTTATCAACAGGGATTTTAGGAAGTTACTCTTCCTCTTCTTTTTTTTTTTTTTTCCTATGTCCTTCTATGTAGTTCAAGCAGAAGCTGAGGACAGAGATTAGAATATGGAGATGAGAGACTGGAAGAGGAAGAACAGCATGGAAGTGGCAAAGAAAGTCCAAAGCCAAGAGGGCCATATATTTAACTTGTTCTAAGCACGGCTGTACTATCCTTAATGTTTCCTTATTTCCTAGAGCATCTAATAGAGAAAACGTCATTTCTCACAGTTCTGGGCTTTCATTTCAAAACTGGATTCTGACACCTGTTCTTATAAACTAGAACAGCAATATAACAATATGTAATTTTTATTGAGCATTTACTGTGTGTCAGGTACTGTTCTAAATGTTTTACATGGGTTAACTCAGTTAATTACCACAATATCCAAATGAGATGGGTACTTTTATTATCCCTAAGGCTAAAGAACCTGCCCTAAAGCTACAGAGCTATGAAGTGATGAAGTCTAGACTTGAATTCTCAAACTTTCCCTTAGTAGTTCACCGCAGTGGTTTTCAAGTTACATTCTGCAGACTCTTTCAGCTCCAAAAGTTCTGTTTCTAAAATACATTTTACCCTGTTTAAAAACTGCAATGAAAACATCATGATCAAAACTAGAGACTGAATATAATACACCAAAGGGAACCAACACGTTAACTTTTTGTTGCTGGGTTAAGTCACTTTTGTGCAGCTCTTGAAATAAAGCTAGACCAGTCACCACTGAGATCTTATTTGAACTTCTTGTAAATGTTTCATTGATTTGGAAGGTGTAACTCAGCACTTTTTTTTTTTTTTTAACTCAAGACTACATCTGCCTGCTCAGGTGAGGGTGAGACTGTACAGCATACAAGCTCAAGCATAACAGTAAACAAAGGAACATACTATCCCATGCGTTTTACGTTTCGGGGGGCTTACTGCCTGACATGTAAGGTAAGAAATACATGCTAGATAAGAATTTTAAAAATTTCCTATGTTCCTACTATCTCTTATTCCTCTTTCTAGCCATAATATTTAACGGAATGGTATCCTGAGATGGCAAGGGAAGCTTTTAGAAAAAAAGAATCACTTCCTCCATCCCACATCAGCCACATATTGTCACTGTTACGCTCTGGATCTTGTGCCTACGATCCCCTGTCATTCCACTTTGCTGTATTGATCATTCCCACTCTGACTGGTCTTCAATTTTATTGGGCCCCCTAATCTACTGGCCATGTACCATCTGCTATTTGACTGACCAATCCATTAGTTTTTATTCACTTTCACTCTTTATCCAGCTGATACTCCATAAGCCATCATTACAATACTTTGGCCACTATCCTAAATACTTTGGCTGCTCTGTCATTTTGTTGCAACGTATCTGGCAAACCCTAACCTTGAATGAAGCCTTCACATTATTCTTTATTATTCATTATTGTATATGAGGCTTTCACATTATTCTTGATGTTTCCTTATTTCCAAGAACACTTGGAAAATTCACGTACCTCAGTACCAAAGTGACTGAGCACTACTAGAAAAGGTCAAGAGGGCAGATGGGTTATCACACTATATGTTCATGACCATCAACTTCCACGACGCATCAGTGCTGCTTAGAGAATCCTACTTATCACCGTTGGCAAGTTTTCTCTGCAATTATTTTTTTTCTAACAGTTTATATTTCCTCAGACTTTGGACATTCATCGCTCCCATCTCCGTGGCAACTCACAGCCAATTTTGCCTCCAAATTTGAAAGAGTTATACTCATTCTATCCTTACTTTCTTCGGAATACAAGAGGAGTCTGCCCTTTTTTTTTTTGTTTTTTGATGGAGTACCACTCTGTCGCCCAGGTTGGAGTGCAGTGGCACAATCTCGGCTCACTGCAACCTCCACCTCCCAGGTTCAAGTGGTTTTTTTGGCCTCAGCTTCCCGAGTAGCTGGGATGACAGGCATGCACCACCGCGCCCGGCTAATTGTTTTGTATTTTTAGTAGAGACAGGGTTTCGCCATGTTGGCCAGGATGGTCTCAAACTCCTGTCCTCAGGTGATCCGCCCGTCTTGGCCTCCTAAAGTGCTGGGATTACAGGCATGAGCCACCATGCCTGGCTATGCCCTTTTCCATCTTTGGAATGTTTTGCTATCACTTATCTTTCTTCTCTTTCATATGTAACAATTCTTCTCTTTCAACTATATCTTTTGCATGAACATTTAGTCTGTTTTATCTATTGGGATTCTATCTAAAACTTCTTTGTAGAAAGGTTCTTTCTGCTAGAGCACTGAAACCCCTTTTCCCCTAAGTAAAGCCTGAAAGTCAGTCTCATAAAAGGAGTCAATCCACATATAAGTAGGATAAAAACATCAACAGGTCATGAACTGGATGTCACACATGTAACCGTGTTAAGCTGTCGGGCAGCAACAATATTTTCGTAAACAAAGCCCATAGTACCACCAAATTCGAAACCATCCTGATTCTTTCTTCGTATATTTTACAATTAAGAGTTCTGCTAAAACTCTACAGGCAAGAAAAGTAGCAGAATTTTTAGAGTGTTATTTTAATAACCAGTGAATCTGACAGCATGATTTTGTGTTACTAGGTCTACATCGGGGGAGAGGAGGGAGGGAGGAGGAAGCAACAAATGTCCCAGCTACCACTCTTTTTCTAAGAACTAAAAATATTGCAGGATAAATACAGAACCATAAGTAATACTTAAAAAGTAAGTTTTGACAGCACAGTGATGCTTTTTTTTTTGAGACAGAGTCTCGCTCTGTCGCCCAGGCTGGAGTGCAGTGGCGCGATCTCAGCTCACTGCAACCTCCGCCTCCCCGGTTCAAGCGATTCTCCTGCCTCAGCCTCCTGAGTAGCTGGGATTACAGGTGCGTGCCACATGCTCGGCTAACTTTTTTTTTTTTTTTTTGTATTTTCAGTAGAGAGGAGGTTTCGCCATGTTGGTCAGGGTAGTCTCGAACTCCTAACCTCCTGATCCCCCCGCCTCGGCCTCCCAAAGTGCGTGAGCCACCGCGTCCGGCCACATTTTTACAAGAAATTATCCACGTAGGGAGCTTGACATTCCCAACCCTCCAATAGTTCCTTTACCTGCACTGAACAAGCAGTTAAAAAACAAGACCATTCCTTAAATCGGAGCAGCTCTCCTGACAGCTGTTTACATTAATTAAGGTTTGGTCTCACAGGTCTGGGAGAGGGGGAGAAAGAGAGGCGGAAGAGCGGAGGAAGGAGAGGTAGCAGGGAAAGAAGTGGCCCAAGCTGAGAAAAATCTTGGAAGCGCATTCACCTGGGGTACCCTTCAGAAAGATGCCCGCCTCTTTCCCGAGGGCACCACCTTGCCTCTCCCGCCCACAGCTCCGTGGTGTTACAGCAAGCACTGCTCCCGCTGCCGGGCTGTCTGCAACTCTGATGTGTTATTTAATTTTGTAACTACTATTAAGATCTCTCCAGCGTTTTTGTGATGCGCTGGAATGAAAGACGCTCCATAAAATGAGGTTTATTATTAGTAGTATTATAGCTCCCGGGCCTAAAATAAAGCAAAATTATAACCACATACACACTTCAAAGGGAAAATCCGAAGCCACAAGCGTCTCAAACACTGCCAAGCGGGCAGAAGATGGGCGGGGGCGGGGGTGTAGAGGGGCTCCAATCCGGCGCCCCCCACTCCCACCAATCCCACCAGCTCTTCCAACACCTACCATTCACCCTGCCTGGTGGGGTCAGCGCCCACAGCCCGGGCTCAGCCCCGGCCGCAGCTTCCTCTGGTGGTAGAAGGTCTGGAGTCGGACCTGACCCCTCTCGGCCTCCTCTCGCCCACCAGCTCTCTAGTGGCTCCCGCACTGCCCCGCAGGCTGCCTCACTCCCAGCCCCAGCCTCTCCGCCTGGTTTCTAATTTCCTTGCAGGAGCCTCACTTTCCTCCCGTCTGCCACCTTGACTTTTTTTTTTTTTTTTTTTTTTTAATCCAGAACGAAGCTGGTTCCTCTGCGATCCCTCACATGGGAGGGCTGCTCCCCTCCTCCCCGGTCCGGGACTCGCCAGCCTAGCCCAGGTCTCCTCGGCCACTTTTCACCCAGCCTGGGGCGCCTCTCCCCTGAGTCCGGGGGTCCCGCTGGCGCCCGGCGGTTTCCTCTTCTCTATCCCCTTCCTCCGGGGCCCGGGTCTCTCCTCCGCCCCAGGTCTCCTCAGGCTAGCCCCCGGCCGGGACCCTCCACCCCGTCCTCCCCTCAGTCCGGGTCTCCCCTGCCTCGCGTCGCCCTCAGCCAATCCCCCGCCCGGCCCCGCGCGCCTGCCGCTCACCCGCAGACTCCCCGGTGTTGATCCAGTCCGGGTTGGCGATGCTGGCGATGGCGAAGATATCGGCAGCCAGAAAGAGACATCCTGAGATGATGGTCAGTTTATCCATCTCCCCGCCCCGCTCCCCCCACCCCCCGAGCCCCGGACAGGCAGCGGCCTCACGCCTCCCGCCCCATGGGCCGCCGCCGGGGCCCGGAGTCCCCGCGCCGCTGCCTCGCGCCCACTCGGCCCCCGCGCGCCGCTCGCGCCCTCCGCGCGCCCGGGACCAGCAGCCGCGGCGCGGCCCGCACAGACGGAACCGCCGCCCGCCCCGGAACTGCTCGGCCCGCCCGCCCCTCACCCGGAAGCGAAGCCTGGGCGCTGGCGAGGCCGGTGCCGGCTCCCCGGCAGCCGCACGCTCGCTTCGTCCTCCAGGTTCGGCCGGCCGCCCTGGGCCCCTCCCCGCACTGCCCGCTTCGACGTTCTGGACCCGGACCCGACCGGCCCGGCTCCGGTCCCTGCCCAGGTCCCGGTCTCTTCCGGCAAGCCACACCACCTCTTGGCTTTCTGCCCACTAATAAGATTGTTGTCGTTGTTGATGACTGGGCACAGGCTGCGGCCGCTCCTGAGCCCCTCAGAAGCAAAACTCGAATGAGAGTGGGGAGCCGCCCGTCTTCCAGCAGGAGGCGGGCCCCGACTCCCGCCGAGCGACTCCGGGCCCCGCGCGGTCCCTGTCACCTTGTATTCTCATTGCCCTTTCCGCGGCTGTCAGCTCACAGGATTGCCCCATTTAGAAAATAGCTCTCGACACCCCCTCTGCGTCAGGCGCTGTAGGTGCAGAGGTACTGGAGTGGACAGAGGCAAGGCGCCCGCTCTCGGGGAGCTCATGTTCTGGTGGGAAGAGACAGAAACACATTAAGAACCTGTCTGCAAAATAAAGATAATTTCAGGTGCAGATCCCTGAATTCAATGGAGGTCAGTGTGATGGGAGTCGGGGCGATACCTGCGATAAGGAAGGATGCATTTCCGCTGAGACCATCATGCTCATAAAGACCTGCACTTTGAAGACCTGGCGCAGGACCAGACAGAGGAAACAGCCAGTGCAAAGATCATTAGGGGAGGGGGGCAGAAAGAGATCAGCGCGTCCAGGGTATTGCAAAATGGCATGTGTGGCAGGAGAGTAGTATGACAAGAGGTAGGCAGAGGCCAGGTGTAGGACTTTGGGGGCCTTGGATTTTGTTCTGAGTGCAATGAGAAGGCAGTGGAGGGTGTTTGCAGGAGAATCCCATGATCTTACTTCATCTGTGAAGATCGATAGTGTAGCTTGTATGGGGGAGAGGCAAAGATGTCAACAGGGACGCCAGTTAAGCGGCCAAGTAGTCCTCGAGAGAGAAGTGTAGCTTTGGCTAGGTTGAGAGTAGTGAAGATGGAGAGGAATGGACAGATTTGGATGTTCTGTGGATAGAGAGAAGGACCTGCTGATAATGGGGAAGGAGTTGAAAGAGAACTCAAGAATAAGCTTTTGACCTGAGCAACCTGGTGTTATGATCCTGTTTACTGAGTTGTGTGTCCACCGTCTTAAGTTGGATGAATAAACAGGAAAAATAAGGCATTTGCATAATTTGTCAGCAAATTATGCTGTGATGGAGTTTTCTTTTCTTCCACAGCTCATGGGCCGAATCACCACTAACCCTGAAGTTGGATTCAGCTCTCCCTAATGGTACTCTGTGCAGCAAATGGAGATGAAACACTCATTTTCTCCTTAAATGCCACGTAGGTCGTCTCTAGAAAGACCTAGAAGAGTGACATCTGTCTCTATTTTTGGAATGCTTACATGTCCACAAAATTCAGAAGGTTTCAAATTCCACCAAATCCAACAGCCTTGCAGAAATGTGCACAGAGTTATCAGTGTCACTACATAGCTTGGAGAAGGAAGGGTTTGATTGCTGGTCTATATTGACTTTTCTGTCCAAACATTGGTCTCTTGGGGGAAAGGATTTTTTTTGTTAATATACAATTTATTTTTCCTCTGCCACAGAAATTGACACAAGATAATACATATACTCCAAGGATCCAGATATAATCCTTATCACATTACTGCAATAGTCTTCAGTTTCTTTTTTCTTTTCTTCTTTTTTTTTTTTTAATAAGTTCTGAAGAAGTTTAATTGAGTCATATTCTTGGCTTCTTGTTGGGATTTTCTATTGCCCAGTGATAGAAGAAACTGTAACTATACAGGACTAAATTCCCAGATAATATCCACTGATGTTTTCTGCTGGCCAGCTTAAAAGAATCCTAGGGCTGAATGTTAGGACAGTTTGCACCTATTCTAACTCCAGCTGAACAGAATGATGATGATTGGGTTCTTGTGTTTACAATAAATACAAGTAGCCAAGCATGGTGGTTTGCACCTATAATCCCAGCTACTCAGGAAGCTGAGGTGGGAGGATTGCTTGAGTCCGGGAGTTCAAGAGCAGCCTGGACAACACAGTGAGACCCCTGTCTCTAATAAATAAAATAAATAAATAATACAGTTCTTCCTTTTACCCTCTACAAATGGTTCTGGGTCTAAGATTAAAGCACAAGAACAACCAGTATTGAGTTAAAAGAATTTAAAACATTTTTATCATATTAATGGCTGCACATCAGTACAGAGAATAGTTACCTATCCCATCCCTTCCTGCTATCCAGAATGGGAGGTGGGATTGGCAGGGGCCAAACTGTTTACAGATTTCCCATTAATCCATGTTTTTATCCCTATATCTCTTTTCTTTCTTTCTTTCTTTTCTTTTTTTTTTTTTTTTAAGAGATATGGTCTATGTTGCCCAGGCTGGATTTGAACTCCTGGCCTTAAGTGATCCTCCCACCTTAGCCTCCCAAGTAGCTGGGACTACAGGCCCACACCACCGTGCCTGGCTGGTGTTTCAAAGTCCCCAGTCTCTGAGATCTGCGGGACAGATCAGTTCCCTTCTCTGTATCTCAGTCTAGATTTTAGTAGAGGCAAACTCTAAGGGTTTGGGAGAGGTGATGTAGTGAAGCAGAGAGAATCCATAACTATGTTCTAGTTCCTGCCCTGCTACTTACTTGACCTTGGGAAAGCCATGTTACCTCTCTGGGCCTTTTTCCCCCATCTGGCCTAACAAGACTCCTGGACTCAGTGACAGAAGCATCCCATCCTCTCACCCACCCCTAAGGAGAGCAGCTGGGACTTTTCAGAAATGAGCCACAAGACTCCTTATGGCAGAAAGCCTTGGGGACCCAGAAGAACATAGAACGCTTCCAGGAGGGAGCTATGCTGTGCAGCCCGAAGTCATAAATAGCCATTCTGCAGCTGTTAAAGGGCCGTGAGCATGGCATGCTTTATTGTGATGGATGATAGGCCTTGGCCAGAAGAGGCTGAATCCAGATGGGACCGCATGCAAAGCTGTGGAAGGGACTGTGTGATCACTCTTCTCTTTAAGGAGTATCTTCAGCCTGACAATAAACACACTGTCTCCCTAGGGGTTAGGTTTACCACGTGGGCCAAGAGCATGGTGGATGCACCACACGTGTGTACCTGAGGTTTCTGGGGTTAGAGAAGACACAAGAAACTAAATCCAGAGTTAGCAGCTTGCGCCTGGGCTCAAATCTCAGTTGGTTTCATGGATTGGTTCCCTTTGAGCTGACTCAGAAATGCGATTATTGATTAGTGTGCAGGAAGTTTATTAGAGAGCCTTTGAGAATCAAGTCCTATGGGAAAAGGGAAGCAGGGGTGGGAAGAGGGAGAAGTCAGTCTGTGCTGCAGTCATGGGAGGCTTTGGCAGACCCCCAGGGGAGCTCTGAAACTGGGATAGCTGCTCTGAGTTGGCCTGAGTTGGACTAAAGGGGCCAAGCCTTTTCATCCCTGCACTGACCTGCCATGAAGCTTGGAGGGCAGCTCTCTTTGGACAAATACAATTCCTCAAGAGGGCTGACAGCTGAGATCTGTCAACCTACCACCCTCCCAGTAGCTGGGGAATAGTACTTCAGTCCTGACTGAGGCAGTGTAGTGCAGCATTTGCAATAGTGCCCACACGGTGCTGTGCCTCTCATTTGCTACTTAAGTTTGGAGAGCAGCATTTTCAGGACCCTGGGGCATCTTCTCCTGTGGGAAATGTATAGGGGAGGGTTAGTGGGAATTATAGCTCCTGCCGCTGCTACAGCTCATCTAGAGGCGTAACTAACATACCCTTCAGTCCCCTCTTCTATCCATCCTAGAAACCTCTCTCCCTCTGCCAGCATCTTAGATGATCTAGGTGGCCTACATGATGGGGTGGCCTAGACCTCCATCCCTAGAGAGCTTGAGCACCTAGTTGCTGGGCACTTCTCAGGCAGTGGTTGCTGTATTTGTCCATTTACTGTCCAAATAGGGCAAAGGAGTACTAAGAGACACCTAAATAGATCATGTAGGTGCCCAATGTTCCTCCCTGCCCCGATGTGAAGTCTCAGCCTGATTCCTTCCTGGTGATTGAATACTCTTGTCTGCTTCCTCCCCCTGGTAAACCATCTTAGAGTTTCCCTCTGCCAGAGGCTAGCTATGCTCCTCCTGTACCAGGGATGGGCTCCTCATTATTACCTGGGTATTAAGTGATCCATCCTAGCATCTACTCTTTGGAAGAAGGAATAAAGCAGGGGCCGGGCGTGGTGGCTCATGCCTGTAATCCCAGCACTTTGGGAGGCTGAGGTGGGCAGATCACCTGAGGTCAGGAGTTTGAGACCAGCCTGGTCAACATGGTGAAACCCCTGTCTGTATTAAAAATACAAAAATTAGCCAGGCATGGCAGTGGGTGCCTGTAATCCCAGCTACTCAGGAGGCTGAGGCATGAGAATTGCCTGAACCTGGGAGATGGAGGTTGTAGTGAGCTGAGATCACTCCACTGCACTCCACCCTAGGCAACAGAGTGAGACTGTCTCAAATAATAAATAAATAAAAATAAAAATAAAAAAGGAATGAAGCAGGACAGGGCAGAGGGAAAAGTCAGGCTGCAGTGGACCACGTGGAGAGCTCTGAACCTGGGATGGCCCTGCATTGACCAGTCACTAGTTGCTAGTTGATCTGGGAAGGTGAGATCTTGGGCAAGCGGTTCTTTTCAGCCAGTAGTAGTAGTGAAGGTGGGAGGTATAAGTCCTACAGCCCTGAAGGGGGATCTGGGCAGGACATTACCCATGACAGTTTGTTTCCTGCTGTTCCACCAATCAACATGACCTTGGCTCACTTGGCTTGATGGAGTGTAGAGACCTCTGCTGTAAAGACACTTTTCAGCCTGGGGTGGAGGAAGGATTAAAGGGAAGCCAGGCACTGATGTGCTCCATCACAGAACCATATATGCTGATGGGCTCTAGTCCCACAAACTCTCACCCTTCCCCTGCTGGTAGAAAGATGGAGGAAAAGGATGTATTTTATGATAGAATTAAGTTGGTATCTATGTAGACCCCTGCCAGACTATTTGGAAGAGGAAAGGTGACCTGTTACAAGAAGCCACCCACAGGAGACTTGAGGTGGAGAATAGCTCTTTGTATTGGTCTCCGCGACACAGGATTTTTCTAATGAAAAATCTGCCCTGGCGCTCATGCATGTAATCCCAGCACTTTGGGAAGCCAAGGCGGGTGGATCACCTGAGCTCAGGAGTTGGAGACCAGCCTGGCCAACATGGCAAAACCCTGTCTCTACTAAAAATACAAAAATTAGCCAGGCGTGGTGACACAGGCTTGTGGTCCCAGCTACTCTGGAGGCTGAGGTGGAAGGATTGCTTGGGCCTGGAAGGCGGAGGTTGCAGTGAGCTGAGATTTCATCACTGTACTCCAGCCTGGGTGATAGAATGAGACCCCATCTCAAAAAAAAAAAAAAAAAAAAGAATCTAAAAAGGAATCTGCCCTGGCTTATTGTCCGTGTAGAGCAACAGAAACAACAGGATAAGCTTGGACATAACCAGATCTCCCATGGAAATCTTTGCACAGTGCCTGACACCTAATCGGTGCTTAATGACTCTTGTTGAAGGGATGGGGCAAGGTGCTTAGCCTCTGTTTCATCAGACCGGGGATAACACCAGGGCCTACCTCATTAGGTTTTCTCTTTCTTCTAGAATTTATTAATTCATTTATTCGTTTTTATTTTTGGAGACAGGATCTTGCTCCATCACCTGGACTGGAAGGTGGTGACTCGATCATAGCTCACTGCAGCCTTGAATCCTGGGCTCAAGTGATCCTCCCATCTCAGCCTCCTGAGTAGCTAGGACTACAGATGTGCACCACCACACCCAGCTAATTAAAAAAAATTTTTTATAGAGAAAGGGTCTTGCTATGTTGCCCAGGCTGATCTCAAACTCCTAGGCTCAAGCAGTCCTCCTGCCTCAGTCTCCTGAGTACCTAGGATTACAGGTGTTAGACACCACACCTGGCCTATAATTTATTTTTAATAATTTATATTTTCCTACAATTGTCCACTTCATCTGTTTTTTAAGTACAGGTTTCAAGAGGATAAAGCCTGTGGTTCTGTGTTTGTCTTGCCTACTGTTGTATCCCCAGTATCAGTAAACGACAGAACAGCTCCCTGTAAATACTTGTTGTATGAGTGAACGTGTGTGGGAGGAAGAATTATCTTGGAAAAAAGAAGGAAGCATTAATAGGGCCTCTCCTAATAGTGACTCTTTTTTTTTTTTTAGGCCACCCTGGGGCCTTTTCTTATTCAAAACATTCATAAAAAAGTGCAGTTCCAAAGCATTGGAGCTACTGATGTAACAATTTTTTAAAAAATACCATTATTTGGAGCACAGCGGGGGATTCTCTGATCTTCTAGGTATTCTGTGATCTCCTGTGATCTTCTGGCTGTGATCTTCCTCTGCAGACCACCTGTCATCTTTGAGACACCCTCTTCTGTGCCTTCTCCCCCTCCCTGTTTCTTAGGTTCACCAAGAATGAATGAAGAAGCCAAGCACGGTGGCTCATGCCTGTAATCCCAGCACTTTGGGAGGCTGAGGCGGGCAGAGCGCTTGAGCCCAGGAGTTCGAGACCAGCCTGAGCAACATAGTGAGACCCCCCCCACCCCCTCGCCCCTCTCTTTAAAAAAAAGAAAAGAAATAATGAAGAACCCACCATGGGTCAGGCACTGTGCTAGCCTCTGCAGAAGTTTCCATACAGTACACTGGAGTGCAATACCCACGCTACGTTTTGCAGGGTCCACGGGAAGCCTTGCGGGGACCTCACTGCCGCCCAATTTCTGGGCAGCGGCAGCGCAGCGCCCCCTGGCGGCCATCCCGAGGGCGTTGCCCGCAGGCGAGGTTCGAAACTGTTGAGATTGGGACTGATTTCAGCCTCTGCTCCGGGAGGCTCTCCAGAGCTGCCTGACCTCCCAGAGCCATGCAGAAGGCCTCCCACAAAAACAAAAAAGGTAACTGGGGAGAAGGAAGTGGGTGAAGAAGCCCTGGAGACCAAGCCTTCCTCAATTTTCCTCCTCTGTAAAATGGCAATGGTATACTGTTGGCCTGGGAGATAACCTGTCTCCATCATCATCATCATCATCATCATCATTATTATTATTATCATCATCATCATCATCATCATCATCATCATTTGAGAAGGAGTCTTGCTTTGTCCCCTAGGCTGGAGTGCAGTGGCACGATCTCGGCTCACAGGATTACAGGTCCCTGCCACCAGGCCCAGCTACTTTTTTATTTTTAGTAGAGATAGGGTTTTGCCATGTTGGCCAGGCTGGTCTCCAACTCTTGACCTCAAGTGATCTGCCCGCCTTGGGTCATCGTTATTTTTATCAAGGTATAATTTCCATGCAGTAAGATCCCCCCCTTTAAAAGCACAGCAGTATGAGTTTTGACAAGCTATACCCACGTTGAATCACCCCCTCCATCAAGATAGGGAACAGTTTCACCACTCCCTAAAATTACTTTGCAATGCCCAGTTGCAGCCAAACCCCACCCCACTGCAGCTCCTCACACCCCTATCTGTTTTTTACAGTGTTGTTTTTTTTTTTTTTCCTTTTCCATGGAGAACATCATAAAAACGAAATCATATTGTAAGGATCCTTTACAAAATTATATCAATGTAAATAGGGACTTTGGCCCTTTCATTTTTATTAAAAGGGCACATAAATCTCAAAATAGCATACTGGTCACTGTATTTTATTTTTAGAGACAGGGTCTTGTTCTGTCACTCAGGCTGGAGTACAGTGGTATGCTCCTGGCTCACTGCAGCCTCCAACTCTTGGGCTCCAGCAATCCTCCTGCATCAGCCTCCCATAGCTGGGACTGTAGGCATGCACCATCACACTCAGCTAATTTTTTTTTTTTTTTTTTTTCTGAGACAGAGTCTCGCTCTGTGACCCAGGCTGGCGTGCAGTGGCGTGATCTTGACTTACTGCAACCCCCGCCTTCCAGGCGGGTTCAAGTGATTCTTGTGCCTCAGCCTCCAGAATAGCTGGGATTATAGGTGTGAGCCACCACACCTGGCTGATTTTTGTGTTTTCAGTAGCAACGGTGTTTCACCATGCTGGCCAGGCTGGTCTCGAACTCCTGACTTCAAGTGATCCACCCACCCTCAACCTCCGAAAGTGCTGGGATTACAGGTGTGAGCCACTACGCCGGCCTAAATAGAAGAGATGAGGTATCACTACGTTGCCCAGGCTCTAATCACTGTATACTTCTGCTAGCCCCCAGGTGGGCTTACCGAAGGCTGCAGATTCCTGCATTGAGCAGTTCTTGTTCTTTATGGCTTTTTTCCGAACAGCATCAGGATTTGATAATGACTCGAGGTTGGCGAAGAGGCTGAAGCAGGCAGGCAGGTGCCAGGCAGCCTTAGGCTTTTTCACTGCAGGGCTGTTGTCATTTGGACTGCTTGTCCTTGGGAAGGTTGACATTGCTGTCTGACTAGCCTTGTAGCAAGACCTGTAAGTCTTTCATATTTTAATGTGGTGCTTGGGGTCTGGCTCTCCCAGGTCTGCTGCCTCCTCCACCTGGTTGTCCCCAAACACAGCGGCTCACTCTTTTTTTTTTTTTTTGATATGGAGTCTCGCTCTGTTGCGCAGGCTGGAGTGCAGTGGTGTGATCTCCGCTCACTGCAAGCTCCACCCCCTGGGTTCACGCCATTCTTCTGCCTCAGCCTCCAGAGTAGCTGGGACTACAGGCACCTGCACCATGCCCGGCTAATTTTTTTGTATTTTTTAGTAGAGACGGGTTTCACTGTGCTAGCCAGGATGGTCTCGATCTCCTGACCTCGTGATCCGCCTGCCTTGGACTCCCAAAGTGATGGGATTACAGGCGTGAGCCACCGCTCCCGGCCACCACTCACTCTTTTCTGAGCTCATCCTCTTCCAGGGAGGAAGCATTGAAGATCTCACTCAACAGCAGTAGGGTCATCTTTGTCAGTACCTTCGGGTTCCAGGGTCCCTGCCACTGGGCCCAAGCGAGCACCTTCCTCAGGTTTGATGGCTAATAGTTCATCCTGAGCATGTGCTCTGTGAAGAGCCTTTGTCTAAAGCACATCTTCAGTTTTTTCCTTGTAGCAGTTTCCATCCTCTAATGAAATTAATTGACTCAGCTCCTGCACTGCCACATCTGTGCTTTCCTGCTGGGTGAGCTTCTTTTCTTCTCAACTAGTTTTTTCAGAGGGTTGTGTAAGCGCTTTAAAGTAGTGACTTCATACAGCTGATAACCTGTGAAGCTCTCATGGATGGCTGCCATAGTGTGAGAAATCTCCCCAAAATGAAGCGGAGTGGTCTGGTACGTTGCTAGCATGTGAGACAGGAGATTGCATGTATTAACTTGCTCCACGAAGATCCACATTCAACTTCACTTTGTCAGGTTTTTTTTTTTCTTTTCTTTTCTTTTTTGAGATGGAGTCTCCCTCTGTCACCCAGGCTTGTAGCTGGGATTACAGGCGCACACCAACATGCTCGGCTAATTTTTTTTTTTTTTGAGACAGAGTCTCACCCTGTCACCCAGGCTGGAGTAAAATGGTGCCATCTCAGCTCACTGCAACCTCTGCCTCCCGGGTTCAAGTGATTCTCGTGCCTCAGCCTCCCAAGTAGGTGGGATTACAGGCGCGTGCCACCACGCTTGGCTAATTTTTTGTATCTTTAGTAGAGACAGGTTTCACCATGTTGGCCAGGCTGGTCTCGAACTCCTGATCTCGTGATCTGCCCGCTTCAGCCTCCCAAAGTGCTGGGATTACTGGTGTGAGCTACTGCACCTGGCACAAAGTTATTTTAATTTTACAAGATGTACTGTGTGTTTCTTGCCTTCCTGAACTTCTGCATTTGCTTATAGAGGTCTGGATCAAACTCCTGAAACACGTCCTTCATCTGTGAGTTAGGAGCCTTTTGAGTCCGGCTTCTTTTACTTAACCCTGCTGACTTTTAAAAGTGGGCTCCTGGTAGCTTACCTTATAAGCACATTGAATTTACAAGCTGAGATAGGAACCACTGGACTTTGCCCAAGATGTGACTTCTCTGTTTGCTCAGGAACCAGAGGCTCAGGTAGGGCATATCCTGCCCCCAACTGCACCCAGAACCCCAAAAGGTCTCTGAAGATGGTATCTCGTTTATATTATGCTATTTTATTTTCCCAAACAAAGAGCATCTGTGGTTTAGGGGAAAGTGAGGTTGGAGATGGGCAAGGACATTTGATTTAGAGGAAAGGGCCATGAACCCCTCCAGTTCCCTACAGCCAGAGGTAGGGAGCTGGGGGAGCCTTTCCCTCAGCAGTGGCCCTGAAAACACCACAGTCACATGGACTTGGCAAGCTTGTGTGTCACTTGTCCTTATGGAAAGGAGTTGTGTGTGAAATACTGGAAAAGTGTGCCGAAAACAGATCTCCCCAGGAGCTTCCTGTGTACCGAAAAGGAGTTTGCTAGCAGCTTCCTCTTGGGAAATTAACTTGTTGTTTTGAATGTCCTTTTAGTCCCTGAAATTTTTCTTGTGAGATTTGGTTCTGTAGAAAACATATTTCAACCCCTCCCATTACCCCTTGTCTCCAAGGCCTTCGGATTTTCCTCCCACGTGCTTTTTGGATCCATCTACTGCTCATTTCTGCTGTTACTGCCATGACATGCACCACGACCCTTTCATTTTCATTTCATTTCATCTCATCTAACCATGTCCAGCTTAATTCACTTCTGAGCTTTTTCACTAAGGAAGTCTGAGAAGCAGCCTCTGTCTGCTTGGTCCTCGCTCCTCCTGCCTCCCCCTCCTCTGACAGGGCCAGTTCCTTCCTTTCTCAGACCTTAACACAATGTGCTCCTGATCCACCTTTCTTTGCCTAAATATTTCCTATTGGTCCTTATGGCCTTAATTCAAATTTTAGCCCTGCTGGAAGCCTGACCTGCCATCCTCAGATGAGACTTTGGCCCTCTGTTACTCATTCTCAGAGCCTCCGTCCATTTCTTTTATAACATGAGTTTCAGTTTGTTATCTAACATATATTTACATGACTGATTGATATTTGTCCCCTCCACTAGGCTGTAAACTTCATGAGGACAAGAAACACATGTGGGCCAAGCATGGTGGCTCACACCTGTAATGCCAGCACTTTGGGAGGCTGAGGTGGGAGGATTGCTTGAGGCCAGAAGTTCAAGACTAGCCTGGCCAATATAGTGAGACCCTGTCTCTACAAAAACAATAAAAATTAGCCATGTATAGTAGCGTATGCCAGTAGTCCCAGCTACTTAGGAGGTTGAGGTGGGAGGAGCCCTTGAGCCCAGGAGATCGACGCTGCAGTAAGCCGTGATCATGCCACTGCACTCCAGCCTGGGCAATAGAGTGAGACCTTGTCTGTTAAAACCAAAAAACCCAACATATCTGTTTTGCTCACCATGGTAAACCCAGGGCCTAGCACACTGTCTGTATCAATAAATATTTGTTAAGTGAATAGATAACACTAATATTAAGTACTCATAATATGCCAGACTCTGCAAAAGCCCTTTAATGCTCCCATTTAATTTTCAGAAGAGCTCTCCAAGGTGAACACTTTTTATCCTCATTTTACCAACAAGGAATCTGAGGAATAGGGATTAAATAACTGTCCCAGGGATCTGGCTTCAGAACCCCAGTGGGTATGGCCATGCTTCTGTCTTGGTGAAGGACTGAAATAAGTTCCCCTTGTTTTGGTTAGAAAGAGGAGTCAGCATCAAGGTCAAAACATCTGTACACAACTTGAGCAAAACACAGCAGACCAAACTCACTGTGGGCAGGCTGGGATTAGGCCTCATCATCATCCAGCATGGACCCTACCTCCAGATCACCCACCTCATCAGGAAGGGGGCTGCAGCCAACGACGGGAAACTTCAGCCAGGTGACTGCCCTTTCACCATGCTTCCCAACCACCCATCCTGCCCATCTGCCTGAAGGGAGGCTCGGGTCACCAGGTTTCAGTGTAACTATAAGGATACGACGGGCATGCTGGCTCATGCCTGTAATCCCAGCACTTTGGGAGGCCGAGGCGGGGGATCACTTGAGGTCAGGAGTTTGCGACCACCCTGGCCAACATGGTAAAACTTTGTCTCTACTAAAAATACAAAAACTGGCCGGGAGTGGTGGCTCACGCCTGTAATCCCAGCACTTTGGGAGGCTGAGGTGGGTGGATCCTGAGGTCCGGAGTTCGAGACCAGCCTGGCAAGATGGTGAAACCCTGTCTCTATTAAAAATACAAAAATTAGCTGGGCGTGGTGGCACATGCCTGTAATCCCAGCTACTTGAGAGGCTGAGGTAGGAGAATCACTTGTACCCGGGAAGCGGAGGTTGCAGTGAGCTGAGATCGTGCCACTGCACTCCAGCCTGAGTGACAGAGACTCTGTCTTAAATAAATAAATAAATACAAATACAAAAATTAGTTGGGTCTGGTGGCGGGCGCCTGTAGTCCCAGCTACTCAGGAGGCTGAGGCAGGAGAATCTCTTGAACCCGGGAGGCAGAGGTTGCAGTGAGCTGAGATCGCACATTGTACTCCAGCCTAGGTGACGGAGTGAGACTCTGTCTCAAAAAAAAAAAAAAAAAAAAAAAAAAGGATATGACAACATTAGTTGAGAACTTTCTATGGGCCAGCCAATGGCTATCACTTATGTAACTATCACTGTTGGGCATATTAATTCATTTAATTCTGGCCAGGTATAGTGGCTCACACCTGTAATTCCAGCACTTTGGGAAGCCAAGGTGAGAGGATCAGGTGAGGCTAGGAGTTCAAGGCCAGCCTGAGCAACATAGTGAGATGCTGTCTATGTTAGTCCGTTCTTGCACAGCTATAAAGAAAAACCTGAAACTGGGTAATTTGTAAGAAAAGAGGTTTAACTGGCTCATGGTTCTGCAGGAAGCACAGCTGGGGAGGCCTCAGGAAACTTACAATCATGGCGGAAGGTGAAGAGGAAGGAGGTACGTCTTACATGGTTGGAGCAGGAGGAAGAGAAAGCAGGGGGAGGTGCTACACGCATTTCAACAACCAGATCTCATGAGAACTCACTCGCTATCAAGAGAACAGCAAGGGGGAAATCTGCCCCCGTGATCCAACCGCCTCCCCACAGGTCCCTCCTCCAACACCCGGGACTACAGTTCAATATGAGATTTGGGCGGGGACACAAATCCAAACCATATCACCATCTCTACAACAAAACAAAAGTAGCCCGGCATGATGCGTGCCTGTAATCCTAGCTACTCGGGAAGCTGAGGTGGGAGGCTCACTTAAGCGCAGGAAGCCGAGGCTGCAGTGAGAGCTATGATTGTGCCACTGCACGCCAACCTGGGTAACAGAGTGAGACCCTATCTCTAAAAAAATAAGAAAATTAAATTTACTTAATGAGGGTGAGATTGAGCTCCTTGTCCAATTCACCTGTTTCTCCTACGTGGGGATTCAGGGACCATAGCTCCAGAGCTATGGTTCTCAGCATAAAGATATTTTCTTTTGTAGGCACTAATAAGCATTGCTAACACTTAGCTGCATGATCTCATTTCACTCTCACAATCCCTGAGCTAGATTCTGCATGAAACCACCTTGCAGACAAGGAATCAGGTATTTAGTAACTCTCCCATGGTCACTCCGAGGAGCTGGGATTTGAACCTTCTCTGTCAGACTCCAGAGCCTAAGGGCTTTACCAATACTGCCCTGCTCCTTGTGTCTTTGGGTGAATTTTCTATGCTGTTCAAGAGGTGTTTTCTCAGTACCTGGCCTGGGCCTAGTGCTGTGCCCAGGAGCTGGGGAAGCAGAATGGGCTGGCGCAGTCGTGAGAAGGAAAAAACATATTGTGTTAGCTGTCCTGATTCAGGCCCAGGGTCTGACACTTTTTAGTTCTGTGACCCTGGGCAAAGCCACTTAACCTTTCAGGCCTCAGTCACCTCATCTTTGAATTGGGATAATCCTGTGTTTGTCAGAGGTTGTTAAGATTTGATGAAATAATGCGTGTTTGTTTGATAGATGGGGTATCATTCTGTCACCCATGCTGGAGTGCAGTGGCTTGATCATGGCTCATTGTGGCCTTAAACTCCTTGGCTCAAGTGATCCTCCTGCTTCAGCCTCCTGAGTAGCTGGGACTCAGGTGTGTACCACCATGCCCAGCTAATTTTATTTTTTATTTTTTTGTAGACATGGGCAGTGGAGGCGGTGGGTGGGTGGTGTCTCACTATGTTGTCCAGGCTGGTCTCAAACTCCTGGCCTCAAGGAATCCTCCCATGTGGCCTCCAAAAGTGCTGGGATTACAGGTGTGAGCCATTGAGCCCAGCCTGATGAAATAATTTTTATGAAAGTGCTTTTAAAACTGAAGTGCTATAGAAATATTGGAAATAATCTCTTAGGCTGTTCTTACAGATTCTCCAGACTTTTGCGTGTGTGTTTTAATAAAAAATGATGGCTGTATGGGGGTCCCAGTGGATTAAGCCACTGGTTTTCAACCCTGGTTACCTGTTAGAATCATCTGGGAAGTTTTTAAAACCAAGATGCCTGGTCCCTATCTCTCCACAGGTTTTTGATTCAATCGTTCTTGGACTGGGACAGGGCAGTTTATGTTTTAAAAGCTCCTCAGGTGGTTCTATTTGCAGCTAAGGGTTCCAAGCAATGGATTAAAGAAGAAAGCAGATATATAATGGTTTTATGAAACAGTTTGCTATACCTTAAAATCCAAAGCATTTTCCCCACTCATCACTACTTGGTGGTGGAGAACAAACGGCGACCGGTGGCGAGTTCTGGACTTACCAGAACAAAAGAACTCCAGGACAGGTCCCATGGGGTTTTCTGCTTCTCCTCAGCTTCTTCAAGGTCAGGTGACAGATGCTGGGTGATGATCTGGGTGCATACTCCAGGGTGCTAGAGTTTGACAGGAGTATGCTTTTAGGTGGGCAACAGAGAATCTCATGGCAGGGCTATAGTTAGTGGGCTCTTTGAGGTTAGAAGCAGTCTTGAATTTCATCTTTTAAGTCCAGGACTCACCTACTCTATTAGTGCATTCTCACACTGCTGTAAAGATACTGCCTGAGACTGGATAATTTATACATGAAGGAGGTTTAATTGACTCACAGTTCCGTATGGCTGGGGAGGCCTCAGGAAACTTACAATCATGGTGGAGGAGGAATCAGTCATTTTCTTCACAAGGCGGCAGAAGAGAGTGTGAGTATGTGAAGGAGGAGCTGCCAAACACTCATTCAACCATCAGATCTCATGAGAACTCACTATCATGAGAACAGCATGGGGGAAACCACCCCCATGATCCAATCACCTCCCTCCCTCCCTCCACACGTGGGGATTACAGGTCCTTCCCTCAAAATGTGGGGATTACAACTGGCAATGACATTTGGATGGGGACACAGAACCAAACCATATCATTCTGCCCCTCCATCGGCAAGCTGAAGAGCAGGGAAGCCAATAGTGGCTCAGTGCGAGTCCCAAAACCTCAAAAGTTGGGAAGCTGACAGTGTAGCCTCCAGTCTGTGGCTGAAGGCCTGAGAGCCCCTGGCAAACCACTGGTGTAAGTCCAAGAGTCCAAAAGCCAAATAACTTGGAGTCTGATGTTCGAGGGCAGGAAGCATCCAGCACAGGAGAAAGATGAAGGCTGGAAGACTCAGCAAGTCTGCTCATTCTACCTTTTTCCACCTGCTTTTTCTAGCCACGCTGGTAGCTGATTGGATGGTGCCCACCCAGATTGAGGGTCGGGTCTGCCTCTCCAAGTCCATTGACTCAAATGTTAATCTTTTCTGGCAACACCTTCACAGACACACCCAGAAATAATACTTTGCATCCTTTGATCTAATCAAGTTGACAATATTAACCGTCACACCTAAAGTAGTGGCTCATTTGTTATGTCTTTGCTTAATAAATAAATAAATAATAAATGAATATATGTCCCAGGCATTGTGGGAGATATTTCACCATCTATTATCTTTTTTTTACTCCAATTTTTAATTTTATTTGTATAAGAGACATGGTCTCACTGTCACACAGGCTGGAGTGCAGGAGTGCAGTAGTGCAATCATAGCTTACTACAGCCTCGAACCTCTAGGCTCAAGCAATCCTCCTGTCTCAGTCTCCCAAAGTGCTGGGATTACAGGCATAAGCCATCTCACCTGGCCCCACGTGTTATCTAAAGTTTGCAACACTTCTGAAATGTAGATAATGAAAATATATGAGGATTAGAGAGACGAAATAACTTGTTCATCTTAGTTACACAACTGAGTCTGTGTTCAGAGCTGGGATTTGAACCCATGTCTGCCTCGAAAGCCCATACCTTTCTAGCCAATTGCCTAACAACTAGAAATGAGATTTGAATACAGAGTAAGTCCAGAGCCCCAAATCTCTTTGTGACAAGCCTGCCAGTTCTCCTCAGCATCAGTCTAGGCTTTAAAGTCTGTAACTCAGTGGTTTTAGACAATGATGATGAGATTTTGGGAGACGATAATTGTAGAAAAATGCTATTTATTTGACCCCATTTCCTCCCAGCCCCATTATCTTTTATCTATGTGCTGAAATCTCTCTCCTTTGGTATTTCAGGATAGGGTTTCACTTTGATTTCCTAATTTATTTAGTGTTAGTTTATTCTGGTTAAACTCTAAGTTCCTTTTGGCCAGTATGGCCTTAACAGCTTCTGATATTCTAAGTCTTAATAAATTAATGTAGGCCGGGTGCGGTAGCACACACCTGGAATCTCAGCACTTTGAGAAGCTGAGGCAGGCAAATTGTTGGAGCTCAGGGGTTCGAGACCAGGCAGGGCAACATGACAAAACCCCATTTTAATAAAAAATACAAAAACTAGCCCAACATGGTGGGCATATGTGCTTGTAGTCTCAGCTCCTCTGGGGGCTGAGCAGGAGGGTTGCTTGAGCCCTGGAGGTCGAGGCTGCAGTGAGCTGTATTTGCATCCTCGCACTCCAGCCTGGGTGACAAAGTGAGACCCTGTCTCAAGAAAAAAAAAAAAAAAGAAATTAATGTAGCTTCAACAGTAAATACAAGCCATAGACTGGCTACTGCCTAAGCATTTCCTGAAGGCCTAGTGTGTGCAGACACCCAGGTAGGCACTGGGGGTGTAGTAGTGAACCACACAGACAAGGTCCCTAGCCATGAGGAACTTAAGGAACTTCCAGCCTAGTTGGGAGAGATGAAAAAATAAAATATTTTTCAGTAGTGGCTTGGCTGCTGCAAAGTTGATTTAATGTAGGTAATCGAGACAAAGTTTATATAATGTCATCCTATAGCCCATTAAAACAGAAAAAAATGTGTAATGAGGTTGGTGTTCATAAATACCAAATTGGTGTTTCTGTATGAAGGGCAATGTTAATATCTATTGCTAGAGTAATCACATTCACATGCTGACATGTTTGGTTTACAGCCAGAACGGTCAGGAAATTAAGCTATTTATCTTCTGCCCTCTTGATAAAAGTCACCCTTTTACAACATAATTAAGCAGAATGCCAAGCCATAGCTTTCAGCTATAAACACTGCTTTTAACATTAGGAAAGTAAGCTCATCTGGGGAATTTTTTTTTTTTTTTTTTGCCACTGTAATTAACCTCAGTAGGATGAGCATCTGTTTCGTATTGCTCAAGCTGCAGGTAGCCTTGTTTCATTCTGAAGTGAGCTTCAGATACATGGTTGATTGTATTACCCCCAGCTACTGCTTAAGACCAAAGGAGGTTTTTCTCCACCCTTCTAAGTATTCATTTTCTTGAATTCTGGGAAATTTGTTTCTGATAGGATCTAGAGCTATGGACATTTGTCCTTGGCATCCTTGGAGGCTTCTTTTGGGATCAGTGTAATTCCTGATTGAAGCCCAGTGCATGCATCAGAGAAGGCACTTCTTCTTGACCCTTTTCTCTCTTGAGGTTAGGCTTCAGCTGTCTTAGAATGAGGCTGATGAGGGTCCCCAGCAGGTCAGTAATAATAAGATCTGAAGACTTAAGATTTTGCCCAACGTGAATTGGTCCTTAAAAAGCAAATCCTTTGTATTCCTTTCTGAAGTCTTGCTGAATGCCGTTGTAGCAGAGTTCCTCATTGCAAAAAACAGAAAACACTTCTGTTAATGCACTGAATTTGGGATACTGAGTCTGATAGAATCGCCCAAAAGGCTGGAGAAGTAGGCTTGGAAAATGGTGAGAACCAAGAGTTGTGTGTAACTACCTCTGGCAACTAGAAGCTCCTGTCACTCTTCTGCGTCTCCTCCTCCAGGTTCAGTGACCCAGGTGGGAGTGTCAAGTGACTGGATCTCACTCACAGGTCCATGACCTACCTGCTGGAGATGGGAACATGGGGGAGGTTGGAGCAAGTGAATAATTGGTCTTTTTAGCTTCTTTCAATTTGGGGGTTTCGGGGGTTAGTGCTCAAGATGTAGTCCTCTTCCCACCTGCTGGGGACTCAGAAGCTGCATGGTTGACCATCTTGTTTCTTTCCTTGTCCTGCATTGCCCTAAGGTAGGGAAACCTAGCTGTCAAATCCCTTTAAACCAACATACTCACTGCATACACACCTTACAGTTAATTAAAGCATGCCTAATTGCCCAATGTTTTATACAGAATTATTTGCTCAATACTGCACAAGGGTAGAGAATTAAAATGAAAGGCTTTATGTTTAATGTGGTCTATTAACTGTAGAGGGCACTGGAAATTGCCAGGCAGGTATAATAGAAAGTAGGTCATTTATTCATCACTTAGTGTAAATGGTTTTTTCTTTCCTAGTAATAGCCATTCATTTTATTTGAAACTAATCTATTTTTAGAATCCTAAAGGCTGGTTCCCATTATAAATGTTTCTTAGCCTCTGTCACACCTAGAACTTCAGAAATGTCTCAGAAACATCATATAATGTCTACCATTATACTGCTATTAAGAAACATCTTCCATATACTCTTCATTATGCAAAGGACATTCATATCATGGAAATGAACATCTTTATTAAATAAAGGCTAGGCCAGGCGAGGTGGCTCACGCCTGTCATCCCAGCAGTTTGGGAGGCCGAGGTGGACAGATCACCTGAGGTCAAGAGTTTGAGACCAGCCTGGCCAACATGGTGAAACCCCATCTCTACTTAAAAAAAAAAAAAAAAAAAAAGAAATTAGCCAGGCATGGTGGCACGTGCCCATAATCCTAGCTACCTGGGAGGCTGAGGCAGGAGAATCACTTGAACTTGGGAGGCGGAGCTTGCAGTGAGCCGAGATCACACCACTACATTCCAGCTTGGGCGACAGTGAGACTTCATCTCAAAAAAAAAAAAAAAAAAAAAAAAAAAAGGCTGAAGCCTGGTTTTGGTTCAAAAAGAATCAACAGTATGAACACATAAAATGAAATACCTCACAATAAAGCCAGAAATCAATATGGTCCCTTTAAACCCCTAGTTTTACTGATATATAATTTTTTCCCTCTTCAGGTGATGTTCTGATTAGTGTTGGCTATGCCAATGTGTTAGGATATACTCTTCGAGAATTTTTACAGCTTTTGCAACATATCACCGTTGGAACAGTGCTACAAATCAAGGTTTACAGAGATTTTATTAACATTCCTGAAGAATGGCTAGAAATATATGATTTAATCCCGGAGGCCAAATTCCCAGTAACAAGGTAAATAGTTAATTTTAGGAACTCTTTGTTATAATACAGAATCCCAGGGCCTGTGAGGCACAGATGGTTTAATGTGACAATTATCAAATAAGGATAATGACAGGAGGACTGGTGACACTGTCAGAGTAATTTCCTGGGTTTCTGGTATTAAATCTGTAGGATCTAATATGAGAAAGCATGATAAAGTCAACTTGGAGTTAAAAAACAAGTCATCAGTTGGGAATTTTGTCCCTGTGCCTACCTGCATGGTGCCTCTCCTTCCCGAGTCAGCCTTTAAAATGCTTCTTGTGGGCCAGGTGTTGTGGCTCATGCTTGTAATCCCAACACTTTGGGAGGCAGGCGGATCACGAGGTCAGGAGATCGAGACCATCCTGGCCAACATGGTGAAACCCCTTCTCTACTAAAATTACAAAAATTAGCTGCATGTGGTGGCGAGCACCTGTAATCCCAGCTATTCAGGAGGCTAAGGCAGGAGAATCGCTTGAACCTGGGAGTCGGAAGTTGCAGCGAGCCGAGATCGTGCCACTGCACTCCAGCCTAGAGACAGAGCAAGACTCTGTCTAAAAAAAAAAAAAAAAGGCTTTTTGCAAATCCTGTTTTCTTTTGCATATTCAATTTTTTTCTCTCCGGGTCCTTCCCAGTAACATCTAAGCCTTTTTAAACTTCTCTCATCTTGGCAAATCCTATCTTCAGTCCACTCTCCTCTCTCTACTCTCTCTAGCCACTGGAGTCTCTTGCATCCCCTCCCAACTTGCTAAAAGCTGTATTAGACACCTGTTTCCTTGAGAGACGCCACTTCCCAGACACTCCTCAACCCACTTCAGTCTAGGCTTTGCTTTCATCCCTCGGCTGAGTCCTTTTCCCAGGGCCACCCATAGCCTTCACACTTCTGATCCCACTACATTCTTCTGTCTTTATCTTGCTTGGTTTCTGAGCAGCCCTAGACACTTAACACTTGCCACCCACTCTCTTCTTGAAATAGCACTTCCCAGGCTTCTGTAACACCACACTCCCCTGATTTTCCTATTTTCCTATTACCTCTGGCCATTTCCTCTTGGTGTCCTTTCTCCTGGCCAATTTCATTGATGCCTATGGTTTCTCTGACTATCCACATGCTAATTACTTTCAAATTGTATTATCACCAAACTGTATTTTTTTTTTTCTTGGTTTTGCTCTTGTCGCCCAGGTTGGAGTGCAGTGGAGTGATCCTGGCTCACTGCAACCTCTGCCTCCCAGGTTCAAGTGATTCTCCTGCCTCAGCCTCCAGGGTAGCTGGGATTACAGGTGCACGCCACTACACCCAGCTAATTTTTGTATTTTTAGTAGAGATGAAGTTTTACCATGTTGGCCAAGCTGGTTTCATATTCCTGACCTCAGGTGATCTGCCTGCCTCGGTCTCCCTAAGTGCTGGGATTAGAGGCATGAGCAACCAAGTCTGGCCAGAATGATCTTTTTGTAATGCAAATTTGATCCTGGCATGTTCCTGCAAAAAATCTCAAGACTTTTTGTTTTTTGGATAAATGTCAAAATCCTCACATTGGCCTATAATGCTCTACGGGGTTCAGCTGGCCTCTGCATACCATTCCAACTTCAACTCATACTGCTTTCCCCATCCTTCTCTATCCCACTTTAGCTTCCAGCTCCCTGCCTTTTGTTGCTCTTTGCCTCAGGGTCTTTGCACTTGCTCTTCTCTGTCTGCAACATGCTCGTAACTTTGCTCTTCAGTAGTCACCCTTGAAGGCTCCAGTGTACCTTCTCCAAGGGGTCTTCCTAGAAACAGGTCCATCTGACATATGCCTTCACAGCTCGCTCCTTCACATTTATCCCAATTTTAATGTAATAATCTGTGTAATCAGTTGTTCACTGTGTTTCCCTGGGAGAATGTGAACTCCATGAAGGCAGGGACTGAGTCTGTCTTGTTTTGCTAAAATTGCCCTAGGACTTTCATGTGGTCAATGGTTCATTTGTTTTTAATTTTTAATTTTAAAAGTCTTATTTTTGAGACAGGGTCTCACTCTGTCCCTCAGGCTGCAGTGTAGTAGCATGATCACAACTCACAATTAAATCCTACTCAGCGACTCCTACACTGGAGGGCACGACTCTAAAAGCATGGGCTCATCTTTTAGATGACAACATAACAACTATGTTCTAAGCATTTTCATTACATGGAGGAGTTTTGAGATCCAGAATATTAAATTCTAAGGATGGCAGACTGACCATTCAAAAGCAAAGAAAAGATAGAACAGCACAACTCAAGTATGAGGCGAAAACCCGTGAACTTAAATAACAATACCAAGCACCTGCTGACTTCCTTTCTTAATTAGGCAAAGTACTCATATCTACGGTATTTTAGTAACTTAGGTGTAACAGGGCAGGGAAAGAAGGGAAAGGAAAAAGCTGCTTTCACAAAGCTGGTATAACCTTTTCCAGGAGAAAATGGCACCGGGTATACACACTGGAGAAAATTCTCCATTTACCGCTCTGGGTAGGCTGAATGGTCTAGAAAGTTTGTTTCCAGCCAATCCTGACCTCTGCAGGGTTGTGGCTTTATTACCTAATGATAATTTACCTGTCCTTTTTGGTTACCTAACCATCAGAGTTGCCAAGGATTCACCCTGCAGTCTGGAAAAAAAAAAGTTATTAATACTTGGATTTTTAAAAAAAATTCATGTGCTGTTCAGGAAGACCTAAGTGTGTCTGAAGGCAAATTAGACAAAGAAAATCAGTATTTAAGACTAGTGGCTCTTAGTAAAAATTACTCATTATCAACTGTTTATTACTGGAAGAGATAAACTTTAGGAAAAGCCATTCAAATTCTTGGAAGCAAATACAACAGGCAGATTGCCAAGGTTATTAGTGATAACACCAGAAGTCTTAACAGGTTGGCAGGGAAGAAACCTATTTCCTTTTAGCAGGGCAGAATGTACCAGAGATTTGTAATCACAAAGATTTGGTTCTGCTGGGCAACAGCACCAGGATGAGGGAAAGCAGGTGACAGAGCACTCATTCTGGAAAGTTAAAGCAAGCACAGGTACTGTAGGCATTAGGAAAGTTCAGAGACCTGAAGGTACTAGCAGGCAAGCACCACCTAGTTTCAACAATCAAGAAAGCCAAAAACTGGAGGAAGTTAAAAACAACAACAAAAACCTGGCTGGGCACAGTGGCTCCTGCCTGTAATCCTAGCACTTTGGAGGCCAAGGTAAGGATTCTTTGAGGCCAGCAGTTTGAGACAGCCATGGGCAACATAGGGAGATCCTGTTTTTAGACAACAAAACAAAACAAAACAAAAAAAATTAAAAATTAGCCAGGTGTGGCAGCATACAGCATACACACCTGTAGTCTCAGCTCCTTGGGAAACAGAGGCCAGAGGGTCACTTGAGTCCAGGAGTTCAAGGTTGCAGTGAGCTGACTGTGCCACTGCACTGCAGCAAGGGTGACAGAGCAAGACCCTCTCTAAAAAAAAGACTTGAAGACTTACTAATGACTAGGATGTTGAAGATCCTTAAGGCCCACTATTTCCTGACTTCCTGACTCCTCTGGAAATCAGTAATATTGTGTTCCTGCCACATGAGCCACAAGAACAGAGTTCTCAGGAGATGGTCAGGTTGAACCTGTCACTTTAGCTGCACTGAAATTAATCTACCCTTTAACACCTCCTAATATTCTGGTCAGTAGTCTAGTATAAGTCTGTGCAAAACTTTTTAAGGTATGGTAAAGTAATTTAAGGCAGAATTTGATTTCCATTTAGAAATGGAAAAAGATTTAAAGATAATTTTTAAAAGGGAAACATTTCAGTGACACAGAAAGGTAGTGCTAAAGCTAAATTGTATCTTCTATGAGTCAAAGCAAGTTATAAGGCATCTTGTTAGGGGACCATCAATGTTGAGACATGAAGAATCTATTTTATTCACTATTCTTTCATTTCAGCACACCAAAGAAAATGGAGCTGGCAAAAGATGAATCTTTCACAAGCAGTGATGATAATGAAAATGTAGATTTAGATAGAAGACTTCAATATTATAGATATCCGTGGTCAACTGCGCATCACCCTGCAAGGAGACCAATATCCATCTCCAGAGACTGGCATGGATATAAGAAGAAGAACCATACTATTAGTGTAGGAAAAGACATTGATTGTGACGTGATGATTCACAGAGATGATAAGAAAGAAGTGAAGGCGCCTTCTCCATACTGGATAATGGTGAAGCAAGACAATGAAACCTCTTCCTCCTCTACTTCCTCTACCTCAGATGCATTTTGGCTGGAAGATTGTGCCCAAGTTGAAGAGGGTAAAGCCCAACCGGTATCAAAGTTTGGTTAGCAAATCTGTGGTCATATGAGCATTTACCTTGCAGACACCCAAGTTTTGTGCCTCACCAGGCACAAGTTTGCTATACTTATCAAGGACTGTCTGTAGACTCACTAATTCTCTTCTCTTATGACTGCATTATTAAGCCTTTAGAGATGTTCTTCAATAGGATTATCTAAATACTTCCCTGGGTTCTTGCAGGCCTTGCAAATCTTATTTTCAGAATAAGACCCTTCTTTCTGAGAAGAATTTCTTTTCTTTTCTTTTAGAAAATGCAGTAGAGAAATCCAGTATCAGAATGTCTGAACATAGTAGAGAATGTCACTTTATTAAACACCACACTTTTCTTTAAATATTTAGTTTCTCTCTTTTTTTTGGTAAACTTCAAGTACTATAATTAAAATAAGAGACATATTCCTTGGCTAGTTTTTCACATTAGAATTCTTTGTTTTTCCCTTTTCAGCCCTTCTTTTACTGTAAATGTTGAATTGAGAGTTAATTACTTGGAAGAGACAGGATAGTAACAGATAAGGGAGAGACAGCAGATGAGTGAAAAACAAAACTCTGTCAGTGAAGATAACTCAGACATAAAAAAATGAATTAATGGGAATATAGGATATGATTGATAGGAAATTTATGTTTTTCGGAAATAATTTTATTGCAAAAAAGGCAAAACAGGGGTAAAAACCAGACCATTTAGCTATTGATACCCAAAATGACAAATTTTGAACTTGCTTTCATCTGAAAAGCCACCAATAGTAACCTGGCACTATTTATACTGATAGCCACTTAGCCTTAATTTTAATAGTTTCTAATGCTTCTATGCTCAATAATTATATTCCTGTCTCCTTTAAAGCATCCAAAACAAAAATATCAGCACATAATAAATACTTGTTGATTAACTCATTGAGAAAAACGTAAGAAAAACACCTAAGCAGAATGTTTTATTGACTTTAGGTCAGCTGAGAATAATTACCTGCATTTATGCCTTATTTTACCTCACTGGAAAAAAGACAAATGTTATATTAGAGATTTCTGACTTTCATGTGTTTGCTGCTCTGGGCTGAGAGAATGTTCAGCTCTCTCCCGTAATGTGTGCGTCAGTATTACAGCTCATCAACAAAAGGTGTATGTCCCAAATTTCCACTTGCTGCCATCGACTTCTGGCCAGAAACAAACTTCTTTGCAGCCTTTAAAGAAACAAACAAAAGACAAAGTTAACAAAAATAAAAATATATGTCATCAAGCAGGTGAACTTATTGTCATTTTAAGAATTTATGGATAGGACATTCTTTTTTTTTTTTGAGATGGAGTCTTGCTCTGTCACCCAGCATGGAATGCAGTGGTGCGATCTTGGCTCACTGCAGCCTCCGCCTCCCAGGTTCAAGCAATTCTCTGCCTCAGCCTCCCAAGGAGTTGGGATTACGGGCATGCACCACCATGCCCAGCTAATTTTTGTATTTTTAGTAGAGACCAGATTTCGCCATGTTGGGCAGGCTGGTCTCGCACTCCTAGCCTCAAGTGATCCACCCACCTCGACCTTCCAAAGTGCTGGGATCACAGGTATGAGCCACCAACCCGGCCTTGGATAGGACATTCTAAGCCAGCAATTACTATAATAGCCGTTGTGAAAATTAACTAGGAGATGGCTGGTGCTTTAATTTGTGACAGTGTGGGAAAAGCTTAGCTGTTCCTCTGAATGTTCCATTGTATGTGTAATGAACCAAGCAAGAGCAATGCTCCGGTAAGAGGGTAGCTGTTAAAAGAGAGATAAGGAAAACATCACTGACACTCTCAAATAGAGTAGTGTGGCTTCAGGCAGGGATATACTTTCCTGTTTCTGTATTACAAGGGCAAATAGTCTGGGTCAATAAAAATACAATGATTGTTAACTTAAAAGTAAAACTTTATACCCTAGAGGATTCTTTATGCCACTACTTCCAAGTTCAAAGACTGGGTAAGTGTAGTATCATGAGTCAGGTGTAGGTGGAGCAGCAGCCCTCATATTCTCAGGCCAGCTTATCTTATCACTATGAAGGAGAGGTGGTGGTGGAAGCAGTCGGGTTGGGATGCACATAATGATGGGATACAAGATAAGGACAGTCATTTAGAAGAGTAAGAAATGAGTCAGGTGCGGTGGCTCACGCCTGTAATCCCAGCACTTTGGGCGGCCCAGGCAGGCGAGGAGGTCAGGAGATTGAGCACATCCTGGCTAACACGGTGAAACCCCATCTCTACTAGAAATACAAAAAATTAGCTGGGCGTGGTGGCGGGCACCTGTAGTCCTAGCTACTCGGGAGGCTGAGGCAGGAATATGGCATGAACCCGGGAGGCGGAGGTTGCAGTGAGCTGAGATAGCGCCACTGCACTCCCTCCAGCCTGGACAACACAGCGAGACTCCGTCTCAAAAAAAGAAAAAAAAAAAAAAAAGAAGAGTATGAAATGATGATGATTAGGGGCCAAGTGAAATCAAGTCAGGGTTACTTTCTTAAAATAGCCTTGTCTCTTTTTTTATTTGAGACAGGGTCTCACTCTGTTGCCCAGCCTGGAGTACAGTGGCATGATCTCGGCTCACTGTAACCTCTGCGTTCCAGGCTCAAGCCACCTTCTGACCTCAGCCTCCTAAGTAGCTGGGACTACAGGCGCATGCCACCACGCCTAGCTAATTTTTGTACTTTTTTGTAGAGACGGGGTTTTGCTACATTGCCCAGTCTGGTGTTGAACTCCTGGGCTTAAGCAATCTGCCCACCTCAGCCTTCTAAAGTGCTGGGATTACAGGCATGAGCCACTGCACCCAGCTTGGTTTTTTGTTTTTTATTTTTTCTTATCCCCACTGTCCCTATACAAAGTAGACCTGTTGGTGAGAAGATGGCTGAGACATGTACAACAGAAGGCGAGTTGGTAAGTTTAATGTAGAAAACGGGGAAAACCCACTTAGTTTGGATTAATTCTGTAAGTCATCATGTTAGGCACAGTAGGGAACACAAAGAAGTACATGACATAATCCTTGCCCTCAAAACAGCTCAATCTTGTAGGGAATAATAATATATGTAAAAAAAAAAAATTGCAAGAACAGGAGAATGTCCTAGGCTTAGAATAGTAAAGAAAATCTTAAGATGCTGGATGGTGAAATACTTGAAGAGGAAAAATAGCAAACTTCACTATTTAGGTTGGATGACATGAAACTGCCAATATTTGACTCTTCTTTACCTCTAGTCATCTAACATAAGCCCGTATTATAAACTACCATTAGTTTAACCTGATGTTTGATACATCAGGTGTATTAAATGCACTTCTGACTGCCATCTCAGTGGACGGCAGCGCTCTCACTGACAGCAGAGTTTAACCTAATGGTAGTTTATTTGAAGGAGGAAGATACATACACTCAAGCTGACAAGGAAGCTTGTTGCAGATCTTATGGGAATGGGCCCTCCCGCCTCCATATTAAGTAGATGGGCACCAAACATAAGAATAACATATACTGCCCGAGGACGCTTATGCATCCTTCTGAAACTGGATCATGAAGTTCTATGTTGTTAAATCGTACGTTTTCATTTACTTACATTTATGATATCAGCGTTAGCCACTGAATCAATCTGCTGAAGGACTGTGGATGGTGGCACGTAAGAACCAGCAACTAGAGCCTGCGACCCGACTTCTTCCAGGAAACGTTCAGAAGACTCCACTGACATTAGGTATCCAGCTTTCAGCTTGTTCCTGTCCAATAAAAGGCAGAAGTCAGTTTTACAGAGCTACAGAGCAAGGCAATTATTTTTTTCTTTCTGGGTGGTGGCGAGGGGCTGTGAACATCAAAGCTTTATTTAATCGATATAGTAATAGCATGTCTCCCTCATCCTGAATTCCCCAAGAAGAACGGCGCTCCCTTCTCTGGAACTAAACAGTAAGTCTGGAGGGAAGAAGTCTCCTCAGGGTTGCCGAAGTGTCCAATTGAGGGCCCACTTTGGCCTCCATTTGTGGGTCCATACACTGCTACAGATTTGAGTGAGACAGCTGGAGAGCTCCCTAATGCTTCCCAAGGCCTCTGGATCTGGTTGTGCAATGTGGATCCTCTGCACGTCACTGGCCAGTCGCAGCCCCCTGGCACAGTGAGGAAGATGTCTCTGCTGTCAGTGAGAGGGCTGCCATCCACTGAGATGGCGGTCAAAAGTGCATTTCATACACCTGACGTATCGAACATCATAGCTTGGCCCAGCCTACCTCGTATGTGCTCAGAACACTTACGATAGCCTGCGGTTAGCAAAAGTCATCTAACGTAAGCCCATTTTATAAGAAACTATTGATTATCTCATGTACTGCATATCACTAGCCTAGGAAAAGATCAAATTCAAGTATAGTCATGTACTACATAATGACGTTTTTGGTCAATGATGGACCACATATATAATGGGGTCCCATAAGATTATTAGGGAGCTGAAAGATTCCTATTACTTAGTGACAACATAATGCTGTAGTGCAATTAAAAAAATTTCACGTAGCATATGTTTACAGTGTTTAGCGTCTATAGCAGTGCACAGTAATGTCCTAGGCCTTCCCATTTACTCACCACTCACTCACTGACTCACTTGAAAGCAGGAGTTTTCGGTCCTGCCAGCTCCATTCATGGTAAATGTCCTATAATGGCATATTTTTTTTTTTAAATCTTTTGTGCTTTATTTTTACTGTACCTTTCCTATGTTTAGATGCACAAATACTTACCATTGTGTTATAACTGCCTACAGTATTCAGTATATAGTGCATATACAGGTTTGTAGCCTAGGAGCAACAGACTATAATACAGACCTATGTGTGTAGTAGGCTATACCATCTACATTTGTGTAAGTACACCATGAGGTTCACACAGTGATGAAACCACCTAACACCACATTTCTCATAACGTATCCGCATCGTTATGTGACCCATGACTGGAAGCTGAAATTGCGATGGTTTTGCTCTGTAGCCAAGTTGAAAAATTGTAAGGTGATCTATGGCAAGTTGGGGACAGTGTGTATTATAAACCTACCTTCTGGCTGCTAGACTGTGCAGACCAGGGATCTTGAAGACCCTTCTGTCAAACCAGGGTGTCACCACAGACAACTCCACCTGGCCCACGGCTGGGGTCACAGTGTCATAAAGGTCACAGTCTTGACCTTTTCCTTTTGCCTTTTCCTTGTATGAACTGGGTTCTCTTCTTGGATGGAGGATACCTTTCAATGCTTACAGTTTGAAGATTCTCATGTTTATTTTCTTCTTATGCTACCATTTCACTTGTATTACCTGTGAGTTTTGGCAGGTTTCGGGGGTGTCTGAAAGAGCTTCTGCTGTCTGTTTATTTCTGCGGTATCCACTTCAGCTGTTGCTGCCTCTTTTAGGGCCTGTTAGTTTCCACCAAGGGTGAAGTAGAGTCAAGCCAGTTCCTCTTATGCAGTGAAACAGGGCAATTTTAAAGTATGCGCCCCAAAACTCTTCAACGTGTTTTTGGTAAACAGGCAAACTAACAACTTACAGTGCTAATGGCCTCCATTCTATTTCTTCAGTTCACCAAGTACTGTACTGTATACATTACTATTTGCAAAGCTGTCAGTACAAAACTATACTGAATAAACTCCAGAGATTGCTTTTTGATTTTGGACTAGAACTTGGATCTAGGTAAAACTATTTTAACGTGAGGTTTTGATTAGTGAAGCAACTCCTGCCTCTTGCTGAGATTTGTCTCAGTGAGCACAAGGTATGATTGAAAAGGCAGGTGGGGAAGGGCAGTACAGGTCTTATAAGCAACAGCAGCTTAAATATGGGCACAAAAGCATCCACTTGAAATAAAACAAAATCCAATTCACAATTCTCCCAGAAACTTATTACTTATAGACATAGTGTTTGATAAGACAGTCGATATTTAAACCTCAAAGTATCATCCTTTAACACGCTATAGCAAGACTTCCATTTAAACATAATTACAATTTAATGCTACAATTTTACCACTTTGTCAGCTTAATTAAAAAATGATTTTACCTGCAATAAACTACCAAGAGGTTATTAGTGTGTACCTTCAGCAATGACACCTCACTTTCTCTCTTTCACTATAGGAAGACTAAGAACCTTATAAGAAAAAGTATCAACTCCATCAAAATGGCAGAAAACATATCTTGACATTAATAATCAAAATTCTACTTTCTACATATCACCATACCTTATAAGAACTGTGTTATATTTATTAAGAAAATACCTTCTCTTAAATAAATTAATTTGAAAAACTTAGGTTTTTCTTAAGTAAATCCAGTGTTTCAATGTATTCTCATCATGTTTTGTTTTTGGTACAGTCAAGCAGCCCTGCATCCTATTGATTCTTGGTTTTATATATACAATATTTAATAAATTGTGTTGTACTTATACAAGAGATGCAATTTTGTAGTGTGCTCAGCATAACAAAACTTAACAATACTAATGGGAACAGAAATGACTAAAAAGTTGTTCCATCCTGGGTTGTAATTCACCCTGTTATATTTCCCCTGTGCGCAATACTAAATGATTGTAACAACCACTGGAGTTGCAAAATTCACATTTTGAATTGTCTTAAGTAGATGGAGTCAAACTTAAATGTCTTAAACTGCTGTATGAAAATGCAGATTGATTTCCAACTTTGTCCCAAGTCTTTTAGAGAAACCCTCGAACTACTAATGAATTAGGAGTGTTGTTAACACTTTCAATCTGGACAGTGGGGATTTAAAAATTGCCAAAAAGCAGACAAATATTTTAGTCTTTCTTATAAAACAAAACAAAATCAGATCTGTTTTGGGCATAAATCAGTAATGAAGGAAGAAACTATTGTAGAATAGGTACTCTTATATACTGGTGGTGTGATTAGAAACTGGTACAATCTCTTTAGATTTGTGACTTAGAAATATATACCTTTTTTTGTTTTTGTTTTTGTTTTTTTTTTAAGAGACAGGGTCTTGCTCTGTTGCCCAGGCTGGAGTGCAATGGCATGATCTTAGTTCACTGTAACCTCAAACTCCTGGGCTCAAGCAATCCTCCTTCCTCAGCCTCCTGAGTTGCTGGGGCTACAGGCACACACCAACACACCTGGCTAGTTTTAAATATCTTTTTGTAAAGACAGGGTCTTACCACATTACCCAGGCTGGCTGAACTCCTGGCCTCAAGCGATCCTCCTGCCCTAGCCTCCCAAAGTCCTGGGATTACAGGTATGAGCAACTGCACCTGGGCAAATGCATTATTTAAATATACACACATACACGCACTCTAACATGGAGCCTTTCGTTATGTTTATAACTCTTAACTCAGTTGGGAATCTACACCAAGAAAGTAATATGAAATACAAAAATATTTTAAGCCCAAAGATATCTTTATAACTGCAGAAAACGCACAAGTGTATTTTGACACACCAATGAATATTGTTTAAATTTTTAGTAATTTGAATCAATGAAAACATAGAATCATTGGTAGGGAATCAGATTATTTTTGTCTTTTATTTGTAATTTTCAAACTTCTATAATAAGGATGCTATTTAAATAGGATAAAAAAGTATACAGATGGTCCTAACTTACGATGGTTTAACTTATGATTGTTTGGCTATATGACTGGTTTATCAGGGTATTAAATGTGTTTTTGATTTATGGATTTCTCAGGATGTAACCCCAGTGTAAGTCAAGCAGCATCTATCCATACAATATTAAAAATTATGTTTAAAAATGTGTGATCAATAAACTAAGAAAAATGTTAACAATTATTCTCTAATTTTTGTGGAGACAAGGTCTTGCTATGTTGCCCAGACTGGTCTCAAACTCCTGGTCTCAAATGAACCACCTGCCTTGGCCTCCGAAAGTGCTGGGATTACAGGCCTGGGATTACAGGCGTGAGCCACTGTGCCTGGTCAAAATGTTAACAATTGTATCTTTAGGTGGTAGGATATGGGGATGTTTCTCTTTTTATGCTTTTTGTGCTTCTCAGTCCTTATGAGCATATATTGTAATATTGTTATAATCTGAAAAGAATACAACTTTCAAATAGCGAAAACATAAAACACAGTTAATACTGAGACTTACTTGGCAGCTTGGACATCTGTGTTGGAAAGGTTTCCTTGAGCTATTGTTTTGACTTGATTATATGCAGCCTTGATTACCTAGGACAGATAAGTAAAATTTGGTCATCTGTGGTCAGTACCAGAGTCTCCTGCAGCACTGACATGCTTCTTTACTGAGGCGAAAACACAGATGGAAGGTTAGTTCCAGACAAACAGCACAGTGTCCACGTGGAATGCTGTCATCACTATGGGTTCCTTATTCTTCCTATGTTCATAAGGCAGCTGTTTGTACACAATCCTTCTGCCCCAGCCTCCCAAGAAGCTGGACTACAGGTGCATGCTACCAGGCCTGGCTAATTTTTTAGTTTTTTTTTGTAGAGATGTGTGGGCTCAAGTGATCCTCCCACCTCAACCTCCCAAAGTGTTGGGATTATAGGTGTGAGCCACCACACCCGGCCAAACACATGGATTTCTAATCACCCATAAAGAATAAGCACTTTAAAACTTCTCCAGACTCTTGCAGTGTCATGCCATTAATACTGCTATCTCTTACTATTCACTAAGAAGCGAGTAATAATCCATACACAGCCAATTTGTAAGGCTTGTCCATACTTGAAAGCAAGAGTCAAGAAGGAATCTGAATCCTTGCATAGTATTTAAAAAAGAAAGAAAGAATAAAGTTCCAGGGATGTGGGTGCTTGGTAAATATTTGTTGACTAAATAAATAAATCTGGCCATGATTTTCTCCATCCCAATGCTGGCTGAGTCTGCTACTTATTTTTCCCTCTGATCACCTAAATTCTAGGACCTCTGTTTCCCCTTCATTTTTGCTGCCCATTTTCATAGCCACACCCCAGACCTGATCATAGCCTAGATTTGCATACCTCTGAAGTCCTCAATTCTAAGACCCCGACCTCAGTCTTTAATTTCACTATCCTTATTCTTCCACTTCATCAAGATCTCTGGCTTCACTTCTCTATTGAGCCTAGATCCCTGAATCATCCTTTTAATCACTCTTGCCAATGCTCCAATGCTCCCAGCTCCCTTGCCATATCCTCATACTTCTGACCTGCCCACTTTGCAGGATTCCAACCTGGGATTAACCCTAATACCTAACTCCTCCATTTCTCCATTAGGCTTGTGAATGCAACGGAGGAAAAATTACATGACAGTGCTGACTCACTGTACTGTGAATTTGTGGTCGCTGATTTCAAGGATACACCTATACTACAGTGAATACCCACTTTTTGTGTACCTCACTATTTGTCCCAAACTTCACTACTTTCTTTAAACTTTCCTCCCTTCTCTGTCAAAACATGACTTAGCCTCCTGTCTCACTGAGGCGTTACTTCCCCATATTCCCAATATCTTCCAATATTAGCCTGTCTATAAGGCTAAACAGTCCCCTTGTGTGCTGGATCCCACGTATTCCTTTCTCAGACTTGAGCCATTTATAATTTTCTGTCTCCGCTATCTGCTCTGCTCTTTTTGTTCAGTATGAATGTCTCTTTCAACTTAATCTCTGTGTAAACTCTCCTAAAACAGCCTGCTCCTCGAATGTCTAAGCTCCACTAGCCCACACCAACCTCTCATTTCTTACTTGTCATTCATTCCTTAATCACTACACATTTTAGCCAGTTTCCACTACTCTAGTCAGAACTGTTAAGATCACCCATGATGTCCTAGTTTCAGTGGTAATGAATGTTATTTCACTGTGGGTCAAAACGGTGTTCAACATTCTCTCTTTCCTAGCCTTCAAATATAACAGCTTCTCTTTTTCTTTCTGTTTACCTGGGCCATTTTTCTTAGCCACTTGCTCCTTAAATGATGTTCTTTCCCAGAAACTGAGCTTTAGTTTTCTTTTCCTACAATCATTCATACATATCCCTGATTTCTACACAATCTCTATACTGAAGACTTGCAAATAAACATCTTGGCCTTCCCCTCTCCTGGGTTCTCAATTTAGATGTTTCAGAGCCAACTCAATGCAACTTGTCCAACCAGAACCAAAATTTCAAGTAGGCAATTCTCTCCTCTTTCCTGGAAGCATTAGTATACATGTGTAAATTTCCCTATAGCAGATAATGCTTCAATGATATCATACTATACAGAGCTCTGGTAAGTCATTGCATTGCATTCAAACACTCCATATTTTAACTGGAAACATGTTCATGGCCAGCGGGGGAAAATAACTTGTTCATGAAAGAAGTTTGGTGAGTATGCAACTTACATCTCCAGCAGCTGTGGCCTGGGAAATAGTATAAATCCCGAAGAGTCCAGAATCTGAGTAACTGGCATTAAATGCGGAAACCTGAAAGATAATGAGACTTTACTGTATGATATTCTGCCAGGTAAAACAGGGCACGATTTCTTTAAGTTTGCCTAGAAAAAACTTGGACCTTCACAGTATAAACAAAATAGATTAATATTTTACTTAATCAGTTCTGTCGAGAACTAAAGTATTCTGTATCTTCCAGAACTATCACGGCTTTGTTTTTTCATTTAAATATTTCTAAAATGACTGCTCCCTTTCCTTTATGCTGGGCATTTTCTAACCCTCTTTAGATGATTAAAGGTTAATGCAAACACTAATCCACAAACATTATTATTATAATACAGATGGGCTTTAGCATTAGGCAGACCTGGTTTCTTCTCTCTGCTGCTAGTAGGGACTTTTTCACCAATTTACTTTTATTTCTCTTATACACTCAAGTCAAAAAGTTAAGAGAAAAATTTCTGCTTAGTGGTCATTATCCAGATGTCCAAGGTATCAAGAGTTTAGCCTCTGAATAACAGGGATATTGCTATCTAGTTTGAGCAGAGCTTTTAGCTCTCTAGGGTGAACCCAATTTACAGTGTTTATGTGGACCATTTATGTAAAAATTACCTGAATTCTTCTTAAAAATACAGACTTTCAGATTCCTGAAATGGACTTACTGACTCAGGTCCCTGTGGATGTAGCCTGGGAGCCCAGATTTTTAACAAGTGTTCCAGGTGACTCTTATGTACATTAAACTTGGAGAACCATTGGCTCAGTCCATGTAAAGCATAAGAATGGACTTCAATTTCTTTTTTTTTTCCTATTTTTTGAGACAGAGTCTTGCTCTGTCGCCCAGGCTGGAGTGCAGTGGCACAATCTCGGCTCACTGAAACCTCCGCCTTCTGGGTTCAAGTGATTCTTCTGCCTCAGCCTCCCAAGTAGCTGGGACTACAGGCGTGCGCCACCACGCCCAGCTAATTTTTGTATTTTTAGTAGAGACGGGGTTTCACTGTGTTAGCCAGGATGGTCTCGATCTCCTGACCTCGTGATCCGCCCGTCTCAGCCTCCCAAAGTGCTGGATTATAGGCGTGACCCACCGCAGTTGGCTTGGACTTCAATTTCTTTAATTGTAATTCTGAGGCCGTCCTATTTATACTCCAAATTTCTGGCCAAGTTCTGAACTAGGAATTTCTATTAAATTACTTCATTGGATTAGGAGAGATGGGGTTTCACCATGTTGGCCAGGCTGGTCTCGAACTCCTGACCTCAAGTGATCCGCCCACCTCAGCCTCTCGAAGTGCTGGGATTTTAGTCGTGGCCACTGTGCCCAGCCTCTCATTTTTCTTTTTAAATTTAATCTCAAGCTGAAGGAGTGAGTCTGTAAACAATTTCTTGGTGTTCATCTTGTCCACTTGGTTGGAAAACAAAGAATAGTGAGATTCAGGAAGTAGCCACAAGAACAGAAGGAGACAGAAGAAAATCTAGAAAAAAAGACTAGTTAGAATCCAGGGGAAAGTTTAATATCTACAACTTTATTCTAAAGGGAACGGATATGTAGATTCCCTTTATTTCTAAGCATTAAATTCCTCTTTCTATATGACTAATGACAAGTAATAGACAAAGTAGAAAAGCCAGTGAGTTTTTGATAGACCCTCAAATATACTAAAATCAAGCCTGGCTATGTCTTCAATTGTACAAAGATTTTCTGTGTGTTTGTCTTACTTTTTAAGAGTAAATTATCAGAATTACATCTTAAATACTGAGCCTTTGAAAGCAAAAGGAGAGATACCAACTGTCCAGACTCACATCAAATGGCTGCTGAGTCGCCTTGGCAACAGCCTGGTGCAGATGGCTGGTGGTGTTGCTGCCCCTCTTGACATGTGGCCCAGCACCGAGGACATGCTGAAGAACACTAAACGCATTTGCCTCTGCACTTCCCGCGACAGCACTCTCTGCTACAAGAGCAGCATGGACAAGACTGTCTCCATTCTGTTCTCGGATTTCACCTGAGGCCAGGTTAAGGATAGAGGGAAGAAGAAAATGGCTTGTTCACCATTGGTTTCATTCTTCACTATTTCCTACAATACAGTATTAACCCACGAGTCTTTTCTGTGGCTTGGTGCTTTCCCCATACCATCCTGTCCCCAAACACAAACAAAACACATGCTTAAAATACAACATCCAAGTCATCCAATTCTATGCCGAGACTGTTGAATAGTAAATATTCAGGCCTATTCCACCTCAACATGCTATTCTAGTGGGGAAACGCCCTTCTGATAAATTAACCCTAATAGAAGGAAATGCTTACCTCCACGGTATTTGGCCTTCACACCAGATAAACCAAACCCACCCCTCATGTTGAGAAACTGTTCAGCAACTTGCTTTAGAACAGGATGACTCACACCTGTTTCAACAAAAGCAAAAACAAAGCTAGAACCAGAATTACTAAAACACAATCATAAAATATTTTTTCTTTGTTTTAAAAATACGATTGTAAAATCCGAACATTACAGAAATAAGTAAGTCTTCTTGCCATAATGCCACTCTCCCAGAGATACCCAGTTTACTATAGTTTACTATTACTAAACTATTTACTATATACTTAGTATTACTATTCATCTAGAATTTTTTTCTGTGTAGTTAATATTACCCTCAATTTATTTCTAAAATGGTATTATTCTACTGATATTGTTTCTAACTGATCTTTCATAATTTAAAAATTTCTAAGTGTTTAGTCTATATCAAATATTTAATGGTTATGGCTATACCGCCATTTATTTGATCAGTCCCCTCCTGATGGACGTTAGCATGTTTCTAATAGTTAGCTCTTAAAACAACATTGCATTGTCCATAAAGAACACTATATCAAGAAAGTAAAAAGAGGACCCATGAAATGCAGGAAAATATTTGCAGATAATATATCTGCTAACAGCTTGAGTATCCAAAATATATAAAGAACCTTTACAACTCAACAATTAAAAAAAAAAACCCAATTAAAAAATGGGCAAGACTTGAATAGACATTTCTCCAAAGTTGACTGGGCACGGGGGCTCACACCTGTAATCCCAACAGTTTGGGAAGCCGAGGCAGGTGGATCACCTGAGCTCAGGAGTTCGAGACCAGCCCAGCCAACATGGTGAAACCCCATCTCTACTAAAATTACAAAAATTAGCCAGGAATGGTGGCGTGCACCTGTAATCCCAGGTACTCGGGAGGCTGAGGCCAGAGAATTGCTTGAACCTGGTAAGTGGAGGTGGCAGTGAGCTAAGATTGCGCCATTGCACTCCAGCCTGGGCGACAGAGAAAGCCTCTGTCTCAAAAAACCAAAAAACAAATAAGTTATACAAATGGACAAAAAGCACATGAAAATATGTTCAATGTCATTTGTCATTAGGGAAAAACAAACCAAAATCACAATGACCACTTCCCACCCAGTAAGATGGTCATAGTCAGAAAGACAGACAATAAGTGTTGGTAAGGATGTGGAGAAATTGAAACCTTTGTGCATTACTGGTGGGAATGTACAATGGTGCAGCTACTTTGGAAAACAGTCTGGCAGTTCCCCAAATGGTTAAACAGAGTTACCATATGTCCTGGCAATTCTATTCTTAGACATAACCAAAAGAACTAAAAACAGGTGTCCTAAGAAAAACGTACACATGAATGTTTATATTTATGACAGCCAAAAGGTGGAAACAACCCAAATGCCAATGAATGAAGAAACAAAATGTGGTAATGGAGCATTCTTGAGCCATAAAAGGGAATGAGACATTGACATATGCTCCAATATGGATGGACCTTGAAAACATTATACTAAGTAAGAAAAGCCAGTTACAAAAGGCCACATACTGTATGACTCCATTTATATGAAATGTCCAGAAGAGTCAAATCTATAGAGACAAAATAGATTATTGCTACTTAGGAGGCAGAGGTCGGAGGATCACCTGAGCCTAGGAGTTCAAGTGAGCTATAATTGTGCCACTGTGCTCCAGCTTGGGCAACAGAATGAGACCTCCATTTCTTAAAAAAAAAAAAAAAAAGAGTAGATTAGGCGATGCCACAGGCAGGGGGAAGATGAGAATGGGGAGTGACTGCTAACGGGTATGGGGCTTTTGCAGGGGATGATGAACACACCCTGAAATTAGGTAGTGGTAATAGCTAATTTATTAAAAACCACAGAACTACATACTTCAACAGGGTGAATTTTATGGCAAGTAAATAATATCTTAAGCTGTTATTTGCAAAACAAAACAAAAAATATTACAAATGATATTCTCATGCAACTATTTTGTAAACTTGACCTAATGTTTCTGTAAGACAAATTCTTAAAAGTCACTGGGTCTACGAGTATAAACATTTAGAATTTTATTTTTTTGAGACAGAGTCTCGCTCTGTTACCCATGCTGGAGTGCAGTGGCATGATCTCGGCTCACTGCAATCACTGCCTCCCGGGTTCAAGCGATTCTCCTCCTCAGCCCCCCGAATAGCTGGGATTACAGGCTTGAATCACCGTGCCCGACTAATTTTTGTATTTTTAGTAGAGACGGGGTTTCACCAGGTTGGCTAGGCTGGTCTTGAACTCCTGACCTCAGGTGATCTGCCCATCTCAGTCTCCCAAAGTGCTAGGATTACAGGCATGAGCCACCATGCCCAGCCTAGAATTTTAACAGATATATTCAAAAAGATCTCCCAAAATGTACTAGTTTATATTCCTACTAACACTTTGTGAGAGTGCCTATTTCTCTATACTCTGGTTAATTCTGGGCAGTGTCAATCTTTTAATTTTGCCAATATCACAGATTAAAATTTTCTTAATTATTAGTGAGGCTGATCATTTAAAACAAAGATAGTTGGCTACGCTTATACAAACATATTTCTCCCATGAACTGTCTGCTCATGCCCTTTGCCTGTTTTTCTAGTAAGCTGTACCTCCTTTAAAAAAACAGTCTGTGAAAGCTCTTTGCTTTGAGAAATTCACCTTTGTCACAGGTTTTACAAATACTGTAAAGAATTTAAAGCCAGAGGTTTACAAATTTAAATGCTGGATTCTGCTTTCCGAAACAAATGACTAGCAACTAAAATCCTATGATATATTGCCTGTCTGACATAAATAGAAGGCTGAAGTTTTCAAATTTTGTTCAATTCTGTGTTCACATAATTAAAGAATTGCTCTTAAGGAAGCAAACTGATAGGCAGGCAATACTCAACTTACCAAGTCCAATCAAAGCCATTCTTGCACTTGTGAAATGGTTCTGAACAAAGTAATGTAACTGGGGAAGTTAAAAACACTTATTAGGTTATATTAGCATAAATATAAAAAGCTGTAAAAACATAAAAGTACAGTTTGGAAGAAAATACTTAGCCTTATAAGCTGCTGTAATAAACTACATGGTACTGAAGTTAATTACCCTGGGATTTTATTATAAAAACCATTGCTTAAAAGAACTAGAACCTAACTGTGGTCATGGTTGCACAACTCTGTGAATATAATGAAAACCACTGAATTGTGTACACTTTAAATAGGTTGTATAGTATGGGGAATTACATCTCAATAAAGCTGTTATTTATAAAAGGAATAAAAAGAGGCTGGGTGCAGTAGCTCATGCCTGTAATCCCAGCACTCTGGGAGGCCAAGGCTGGCAGATCATTTGAGGCCACGAATTTGAGACCAGCCCAGGCAACACCCTGAAATTCTGACTCTACTAAAAACGCAAAAATGAGCCAGGCGTGGTGGTGTATGCCTGTAATCCCAGCTACTTGGGTGGTTTGAGGTATGAGAATTGTTTGAACCCACGAGGCAGAGGTTGCAGTGAGCTGAGATCGTGCCACTGCACTCTAGCCTGGGCGACAGAGCAAGACTCTTGTCTCAAAAAAAAAAAAAAAAAAAGAACAAAAAGAAATTAGAGCATACACTGGCCTAAACTTGAAAAAATGGACTATAATTTTTATTATAATGTAGCTTACGTAGTGTATCAGGTTTCTTTTGTGTTTATATAGGTAGTAATGGAGCACTATTAACATTCTATAACAGGGCTAACAGAGTTTTACCACAACACCCTTCTCATCCATCTTTGAAGCCAATCTCTACAAAGCTTTTCTGACCATGAAGTCATTGTCTATACCAGGGTGTCCAAACTGTATGATCACAGAATTACTCAGAGAGCTTGAAAAACAAAAACAGTCACTGTCCCCCATTCTTGGGACTTACTCTATAGACTGATACAAAATATTAAATGTGGAATCCTAGAATTCTTATTTAAAACCAACCAACTACCCATCCATCCAATCAACCACTCAGGCGATCTGAAGATTGGCAAGACTTGGTAATCACTGGTTTATACTATCACGTTAGGCTTAATATACAAAAGTAGGGCTAAAACATGTACTTTCAACAGAAATGCTATCCCTTCCAGATGGGTGAAAATTGGTTTGGGGTAACTAAGAAAAAAAAACTCACTACTTTTATGTATAAAGTACAAATATACAATACATAAACTGTATCTGTGGTATTAAAAGTAAGAGGTTTAGAAAAAAATGGCTGGAAAGGCTCCTCAGGAAGGAAAGTGATAACGTTTGAGAATCACTGGGCTAAAGTAATGAAACTGAACTTTTAATCAATTTATCATAATCCGTGCCCTACAATGAATGGTGTCTATATCTATAGAGTCACCTTGGAAAGTCATACTCTTTTTTCTATTGATGTTTTTCTATTGATGCTGCCATTGCTCAAAGTATTCTAGCGCCAATTTCTTTAGAGTTTCCTTTAGCCTAGGGACACATTTAAAAAATACCATTAACTTTGAGATAACCAAGTTATCACAGTTAACATCTTGGTATTTGTCTATAATGCATACATACATACCTTTTGTTAAAAAAAAATGGGACCTTTTGGGATGTCCTAATTCGTAAATTGCCTTTATGTGACAATACGCTGTGAAGTTTTACGTATCAACTAGTATTTTTGAATGGTTGAATACTGTTCCATTCTATAAGTTATTTAACTAGTTCCCTAATGCTGGATATTAACTTGTTTCTAATTTTTCACAATTATAAAACAATATTACAATAGCTATCCTTGTGGATAAACCTTTGCTATGTCTACTCTTTTAGTTATCTTAATGACACATCCTCATGAGGGTGAATTTGATTTCTAAAAAATTTCAAAACATTAGAGTCCAATCTTATGAAAAACTGCTGCCTGTTCAAGTTGGATGATATAAGTTAAAATTTCTAAATAAAAGTGTCATATGAATGGAAGGCATCAAATTATTAATTGATAAGTCAAAAAGAGAAGGGATACAGTTTAGTTTTCTGTAACAGCTAACTAGGAATGAAACGAGAATAAAAACCTTAAATTTTTGAGTCAGACATACTTTGAAGGTGTCGATAATTCCAAATTTTTCTCTTAATGTCTTTTGATAAAATTTGTTTTTGGGTCTGGGTGGTAGGAATAGGAAATGAAGATTATATGCACATACCTATACTTGTAGATTTAGCATTCAATGTTTCATGTTTTGGAAACAAAGTTCTAAGATGCACATATATGGCTGTGGCATGTGACAAACCCCAATAGCCAGCAAAGGGAGGCTGGTGTGCCAAAGAACGTGAATGAGTGAGTGAGGATGGAACCGGAGCTAAGGAAGTGGGCTCAAGTCTTATTTACGAATTCAGAGAGACCAAAGAGTTTTAGTCAAAGGACCTATTTTATATATATGTACATATACACACACATTTTTTTTTTTTTTTTTTTTTTTAGAGACAGGGTCTTGCTATGTTGCCCAGGCTGGTCTTGAACTCCTGGCCTCAAGTGATCCTTCTGCCTTGGCCTCCCAAAGTGCTGAGATTACAGGGGTGAACCACTGGGCCCAGCCCCTATTATGCTACTTAAACATTTAAATACTGTTTAAAAAAGATACACAGGCTGGGTGCAATGGCTCATGCCTGTAATCCCAGCACTTTGAGAGGCAGAGGCAGGAGGACTGCTTCAGCCTAAGAGTTCAAGACCAGCCTAGGCAACACAGGGAGACCCCATATTTAAAACAAACAAACAAAAAAGATACATACACACAGAAAAGGGTTTAGAAGAAAATATACCAGGTATTAACATTGAGTGCCTTTAGGTATGTGAGATGTTTTCTTTTCCTTCATTTTCCTTGATTTTACTTTTTAATGATCATGTCCCTTTAGTCATGAAAACATTTCTTTTTTTTTTATGAAAACATTTCTTAAAGAATATACAAGAATTGCTCAGATAAAATTTTAGTTAAAAAGCAGGCGGATGAAAAAGCAAGCACATTGAATTTCTTAAAGTTAGAAGATAAAAAGAAAAATTAACCAACAAACCTGAAATGGTAGATGTTCAATTTAATGTGAAAAACAAGTACATTTCAAAATATGTTTTATTGGTACCTCCTCTGATGTCACTTTTCCAATCCTATAGTCAGGACAGTACAAGGGATTAGCCAAGGCATTCCGGTAAGCTGCTGCATGCAAATTTTCAATGACATCTGTGAGATAAGTGAAGAAGCATTTAGGGAAATGCACTTTCAGTAAAGACAACGTTTTTAAAACCTAGAAAGCAACAAGCCTATACAAATTTGGTCATCTTCTGGCATTCATATGTTAAGAGGACTTAAAATTATTATTATTTAACCTCTAGTAACTGCCAGTTTCTGTCAGTAGAATGTGCTAAGGAAAAAAAGAGATTACATGGCAGCAGCTTCTATATACTGGAGTCCACCTAAACCCCTTTTCTTTTTTTTTTTTTTTTTTTTTTTTTTTTTTTTTTTTTTTGAGACGGAGTCTCGCTCTGTAGCCCAGGCTGGAGTGCAGTGGCCGGATCTCAGCTCACTGCAAGCTCCGCCTCCCGGGTTCACGCCATTCTCCGGCCTCAGCCTCCTGAGTAGCTGGGACTATAGGCGCCCGCCACCTCGCCCGGCTAGTTTTTTGTATTTTTAGTAGAGACGGGGTTTCACCGTGTTAGCCAGGATGGTCTCGATCTCCTGACCTCGTGATCCACCCGTCTCGGCCTCCCAAAGTGCTGGGATTACAGGCTTGAGCCACCGCGCCCGGCCCTAAACCCCTTTTCTAACTTTAACCTAGCTGGTATCACTGGGAAGGTATATTGGCCTGGGTGTCAGGAAGTCCCCATCTAGTTATGGTTTTGCTGTCATCTTGCCATGTGACCTAGCACAAGTCATTTAATCTGAATTTTACTTACTTCTAGGTTTCCTCTCTAGGTAATAAGGAGGTTGTCAGGTAGCTTTCAGGGGACCAGTGTGAGCTTCCACTGGGACTTACTCCTCCGTGGTGCTTGGTGCTTTCCCTGCTTTCTTGCTTCAATGCCTTTTTGCCTGCAGTGTTTCCTTCAGTTGCTCATTACCTGGCAACTTCCCTATGAGAGGCACCGCGCTAGATGCTAGAAATACAGAGATGTGGAACATACAAGGCCTGCCCTCAAATTTTAAGAGGAAAACCTGTGAAATAAAGTATTATGGGTGCAATGTCGGCAGTGTGTCAAAAGTGCAATAGAGGTACAAGGGAAGGGCAGTGGGAATTAGAAAACAATTAATACAAGTCATTTGTGGGATCCATCTTACAGAATGAGCTGGTGTTTCCCAGGGGAAATCATTTGGGAACAGCAATTTAGGCGTAGGAAGCAGACAAAACAAAGGCTTAAAGTATAACAATAATTTGATTCAAATGGGAATTGCAGCTGGGAGGAGAAGAGGGTAGAGCATGAAGTAAGAGAAGTGGGCTGGTAAGATCATGCAAGGCCATATACATATATGCTGTTTAGACTTTATCCCACAGCTAATAAGAAGGCTTACTTTCATGTCAGAAGCTTGCTGTAATGGCCGTGTGGGAGATGGACTCAAGATGTAAACCTGGAGGCAGAAACCAGCCAGGAGACCACACAGTAACTGTTCAGACAGAATAGATGCAGGCTGGCGTCTCACTGCCGCCAGTGGGGAAGAAGCCACTCTGGACACACAGGTCATCTTTTCTAAAATTGTACTATTCTATCTATTTCTTCAGTAGAAATCCTGAGCAACACAGATCACGCCCCTCTGTGACACCAAGCATCACCATGAAATAATATCAGTCACCACGCCAGCATGTGGAGCCTGTCCCATGCTGAGCCACTGAGTTGACCTATTTCTGCTCTACTGGCACATTTCTGCTCCCACCAGAAGTTGAATGACTCCCAGGAGTCAGCGGCACTTGTTTATAGACTTGTATTACCAGTTGTACTTGTCAAGATTATATAATCAGACATTATATAAACATAAAATATGAATGCAAAAAAGATTCCTACTTAAAAAAATTAAGTTACTTACTTTGGAAAGACTCAATGAAGAGCAGATGGCTAAATAATAATAGCAATACAACAGTAAGCAATAACAGCAGCAGCAATACACTGGTGCAGAATTTGGTGTAAGCAAAACAACTCTTAAAAATCATTGGGGGTCAGGCACAGTGGCTCATGCCTGTAAACCCAGCACTTTGGGAAGCTGAGGTGGGAGGATCACTTCAGCCCAGGAGTTCAAGACCAGCCTGGGCAATACAGTGAGACCTCATCTCTATTTAAAAAAAAAAAAATTAGCAGGGTGTGGTGGTGTGTGCCTGTAGTCCCAGCTACTCAGGAGGCTGAGGTAGGAGGATCACCTGAGTCCAGAAGGTTCAGGCTGCAGTGAGATCGTGCCACTGCACTCCAGTCTGGGCAACAAGCAACATCTTGTCTCAAAAACAAACAAACAAAAACAAAACATTGGGAAGGAAACAGGAAAAACTTCTAGGATCCTACAATTTACTTACCATCAAACATGAAAAATGATTATAAATGTTTAGAAACAAAAGAATAACATATCTAAATAACAAATTTTTGGAAAATATATTTTCAAATTCAAGTAGTAAAACATTTGTCCAGGCATGGTGGTTCACACCCGTAATCCCAGCACTTTGGGAGGCTGAGATGAGTGGATCACTTGAGGCCAGGGATTCAAGACTGAACTCCAGCTTGACCGACATGGCAAAATCCTGTTTCTACTAAAAATACAAAAACGTAGTCAGGTGTGGTGGTGCACACCTATAATTCCAGCTGCTCGGGAGGCTAAGGCAGAAGAACTGTTTGAACCCACGAGGCGGAAGTTGCAGTGAGCCAAAATTGTGCCACCGCACTCCAGCCTGGGTGACAGAGTGAGACTCTGTCTCAAAAAAATAAATAAAAATAAAAAAATAAATTTTGACAGCCTTTTTTTTTTTCTTCTATAAATTGATCTTCTAAAAAAACCCAGTATCTTAAAAACAAATGTGATCTGGAAATGTACTTACGAGTCTGCGGATTCTGAAAGGCCACAGCTTTGTCAATCTTTAGCTGAGGCTGAAGGTCAGCTACTTCCCAACGACGAAATTCTGGTGCTGTGGTGACATTGAGCAGGAACTCCATTAGAATATCACTACAGAAGACATCGAGATAAGAATTACGAGTCAAAAATGTAAAACTAACATTTGAGATTCTACATAGCTGTAACGCTCTCAATGTGAAACTTTAGGCCTTGTGGTAAGCACAATGTTTATGAGCGGTTTATGAATAATAATCCAAAATGGAAGTCAGAGGTCATAAGGATGCATTACAAAGACCAGAAGTGAGCAGTTTAGCATTTCTTTCAAAGCAGAAGTCCTAAACACACACAGGTACTTACACATCACCCCGCTGGCATTCCACAGTGTAAGCCATGGTTTCCCTTGTTGCGGTCACACTGAATTGGAAAATAAACTACAGTAAATCATCTGAATCAGGATAGTAAGCTTTCCCTTATAATCTTCTGTTGTATCAACCAATTCCTTTGGAAAGAAAATTTCTGAAGTATAAAAGTTGTGAACGATAATACAACAAAACTCCACATACTCATCAACTAAAATTTAAAATTAAAAAAAAAAACAGCAAATAATTCCACCCTAAAATGAGTGAAATCTGGTCACATGTTACAACACAGATGAAACCTGAGGACATTATGCTAAGTATAATAAGCCAGTCACAAAGGGACAAATATTGTATGATTCTACTTATGAGGTACCTGGAGTAGTCAAATTTGTAGAGACTGAAAAGAGAATGGCAGTTGCCAGAGGCGGAGGGGAGGGGAGAATGAGCAGCCATTGTTTAACAGGAGTCGGAGTTTCAGGTGGGAGAAGATAGGAAAGTTCTGGAGATGAATGTTGGTGATGGTTGCTACATGCCACTTAACTGCACACTTAAGAAAATGATAAATTTGGGCTGGGTGCGGTGGCTCACACCTGTAATCCCAGCACTTTGGGAGGCTGAGGTGGGCAGATCACTTGAGGTCAGGAGTTTGAGACCAGCCTGGCCAACAGGGGGAAACCCTGGTTTCTACTGAAAATACAAAAATTAGCCAAGTGTGGTGGCGTACGCCTGTAATCCCAGCTACTCAGGAGGCTGAGGCAGGAGAATCGCTTGAACCCGAGAGGCAGAGGTTACAGTGAGCCAAGATCACACCACTGCACTCCAGCCTGGGCGACACAGTGAGACTGTCTCAAAAAAAAAAAAAAAAAAAAAAACCGAAGATAAATTTTATGTTATATACATTTGACCACAATTTTTTTAAATGGCAAATAAAGTTGAAGATCTTTTCGTACCCTTCCAAGGCCAATTCCCTCACTTTCTCCCACTCTGGAAACCACAATCATAAGCACTACATAGTATTTTTCTGCTTTAAAAACTATACATTAAAAAAATCTTGAAACCTGTTTGTTCACACACTATTTTGCCCTTCAGCTGTGCTATACTGATGTACAGATCTAGTTCATTCTGTAATGGCCACGTAGTGGTCTCATCATGACTGTCATGCTTTATCCATTTCCCTAAAGATGGACACTTAGATCATTTCCAGTCTTTATAAAGAATACCTTTGCGCATGTGATTAAAAACTGTGGGGTTTTTCAGTATTACTAGATATTCCTTGATTCTTTCCTAAGTGGTTGTATCAATTTATAATCCTATCGGCAGAATGAGACATTCTCTATCATCTTTACCACTGACAACACAATATATAAAAAATCTGGGCTAAGTGTGGTGGCTCACTTATGTAATCCCAGCACTCTGGGCTGAGGTGAGAGGATCGCCTGAGGCCAGGAGTTCAAGATCAGTCTGGGCAACATAGACTCCCATAAGTACAACAAATAAAAAATTAGCTGGGCATGGTGGCATGTGCCTGTAGTCCTAGCTACTTGGAAAGTTGAGGGAGAAGAATCGCTTAGGCCCAGGAGTTCAAGGCTGCAATAAGATATGTCTGCACCACTGCACTCTAGCTTGGGCAACAGAGCAAGACCCTGTCTTTAAAATAAATAAATAAATAAGAAAGAAAGAAATGCTGTTTCTGTCCTGATTGTTCCACTGACCAGCTGTTCCCCAAGTCTCTCTTCCTCTCTTTGGGCCTTCCTACTCCTGAGACACAACAATATTGAAACTAGGCCAATTAATAACCCGACAATGGCCTCTAAGTATACAAGTGAAAGGAAGAGTCTCATGTCTCTCACTTTAAACCAGAAGCTAGAAAGGATTAAGTTTCTGAGGAAGTGAGGCAGGCATGTTAAAAACAGAGACAGGTCAAAAGCTAAGCCTCTTGCACCAGTCTAGTTCCTGAAGAAAACTAAAAGTGCTACTCCACCAAACACATGAAAGATATGAAAGAAAAACAGCCTTATTGCTGATAATAGAGAGTTTTAGTGGTCTGGATAGATCAAACTGCATTACCTTAAGTCAAAGCCTAGTCCAAAGCAATGCCCTAACTCTCTTCAATTATATGAAGGCTGAGAGAGGGAAGGTGCAGAAGAAAAGTCTGAAGCTAGCAGAGGTTAGTTCATGAGCTTTAAGGAAAGAAGCCATCTTCTTAATATAATAGTACACAGTGAAGCAGCAAATGCTGATATGGAAGCTGCAGCAAGTTATGCAGAAGATCTACATAAGATCACCCATGAAGGTGGCTACACTAAACCACAGATTTTCAATGCTGACAAAACAGCCTTACAATGGAAGAAGATGCTATCCAGGACTTTCATAGCTAAAGTCAATGCCTGGCTTCAAAGCTTCAAAGGACAGGCAGACACTTGTTAGGGACTAATGTGGCTGGTGACTTTAGGTTGAGGTCATTTACCATTCTCAAAATCCTACAGCCCTTAGGAATTATGCTAAATCGACTGTGCCTGTGCTCTGTAAATGGAACAAAAAAGCCTGGATGACAGTATATCTGTTTATAGCATGGTTGATGGAGTATTTTAAGCCCATTGCTCAGAAAAAAGGTTCCTTTCAAAATATTACTGCTCACCGACAATGCATTTAGTCACCCAAGAGCTCTGATGCAGATGTAGAAGGAGACTGATACTGTTTTCATGGCTGCTAATAGTACATCTCTTCTGCATCCCATGGATCAAGGAGTAATTTTTATTTTCATCTCTTATTATTTAAGAAATACATTTTGTAAGGCTATAGCTACCACAGACAGTGAAGACGCTGATGGATCTGGGCAAAGTAAATTAAAAAACTTTCTGCAAAGGATTCACCATTCTAGACACCATTAAGAACATTTGTGACTCATGGGACGATGTCAAAGTATCAACATTAACATAGAGTTTGGAAGAAGCCAATTCCAACCCTCATGGATGACTCTGAGAGGCAAGACTTCAGAGGGAGAAGAAACTGCAAATATTGTGGGAGGAGCAAGAGAACTAGAAGTGGAGCCTGAAGATGTGACTGAAGGGCTGCAATCTTATGATAAAACTTGAACAGATAAGGAATTGCTTCTTATGGATGAGCAAAGAAAGTGATTTCTTGAGATGGAATCTACTCCTGGTTGAAGATGCTGTGAACATTGTTGAAATGATAACAAAGAATATTACATAATCTCGGTTGATAAAAAAAGTAGTAAGGTTTGAGACAACTGACTTTAATTTTGAAAGAAGTTCTGTGGGTAAATGGCTAAAAACAGCATCTCATGCTACTGAGAAATCTTTCATAAAAGGAAGAGTCAATCAATGCAGCAAACATTGTTGTCTGATCTGAAGAAACTGTCAGTCACCACCACCTTCAGCAACCACCACCTTGATCAGTCAGCAGCCATTAACATGGAGGAAAGACCCTCCACCAGCAAAAAGATTATGACTTGCTGAAGATTCAGATAATTGTTAACATTTTTAAAGCAATAAAATATTTTAAAAGGTTATGTACTTTTTTTCCAAGATAAAATGTCATTGTACACTTAGTAGACCACAGTCTAGTGTAAACGTAACTATTATATGCACTGGGAAACCACAAAATTCCTATGGCTTGCTTTGCTGCGATATTTTGTGGTGGTCTGGAACAGAGCCTGCAATGTCTCTGATGTATGCCTATATATTGCAGATATCTACTCCCAGTCAGTTACTTACATTTTTACTTTAAGACATAAAGATGTTTTACATTTCGATGTACTCAAACTCATCAGTCTTTTCCTTCTTGTGTTACTTAAGAAATCCTCAACCTCCTTGATAACAGAGAAAAGTTCCCTTACAATTGAATATTTTCTGGCATTTTCACTATTTTCTATTACTTATTTAACAAACCTTAATTTGCCACCAACTGCTTCAATTCCATGGGTTATCTTGAAAGATGAAGCTCCTTTTGTCGTCTTGAAAAAGAAAAGAATGATTATCTTTGTAGTTTTTCAATGCCAAGTTTGCTAAACATCACACTATGTCAAAATCTGTTGTCTAACTGTTATGAGCAGATTTAAAAAGAATTTTACTAAATTCCTGCATCCTTTTTAGTTAAGAATTATAAAACAAGGCTCAACAAAAAGCTTAAGCATAGATTTTTATATTAAGTACATTCATATAAAATTTCCACTGTCAAACACAAGCTTACTGGATTCATTAGTCTATTCTGAAAGAGACTTGCATATGGGAAAAAAAAGTTAATTTTCTTTCAATTTATGGCACTTCGTTTTAAAATTTTGTTTACTGATTTCTTATGCTCTAATATCAATGTTCATATGGATACTAATTTAGTGCTTCTCTGCAGCAAATATGTTGTGGTTTCTCATTTTACATTAAGGGACTGTACTGGGTTAAACAGTGTTCCCCCCTAAATTTATGTCCAGCCAGAATGTTTGCATGTTACTTTATTTGGTAATAAGGTCTCTGCAGATTTAAGTACTTAAGATGACACCATATTGGATTATGGTGGGCACTAAATCTAATATAAATGGTATCCTCATTAGGAGGAAATGTGGACACAGACAGAAGGAAGCCCATGTGACAACAAAGGCAGAGACTGCAGTGATGCAGCTGCAGGTCAAGGAATGTGAAGGGTTGTGGGCAACTGCTGGAAGCTAGGAACAGGCAGGGGAGGATTTGTGCCTTCCTAGAACCTTTAGAGGGATCACAGCCCTGCTGATATCTTGTCTTGGCTTACATACCTTGACTTTGACTTCCAGCCTCTAGAACTGTGACAGGATAAATTTATTTGGTTTAAGCTACCCAGTCTGTGGTAATTTGTTATGGCAGGTCAAGGAAGCAAATATAAAGCCTTTGATTTTAGTTTTTCTTTTACACAGGACCAAGATACCACAGCATTTCCAAACACTTGAGGTAATGAAGATACTTACCAGACTGGATGCAAGTCTCAGCAAATGGGTGGTTCCTAAATTGTTGGAGTCCTCATATCTACTGCCTGCTTTAATGAACAAACCAATTCTTGATAGAGGAGCATAGTTTTCCAAAGAAGCAATCACCAAGCCATTTGGTAACTTGGTAAACTGTATTTAAAATAAAGTAGAGATATAATGAATGTCCTCATATTACCAAAGAGAGTAAGGCATGTATGGGTTCTAGCGAGCAAGTTAGTGGGACTAACCTCAAGGTCCTGAGGCTGTGGCGGTGCTCCTGCAGGCGCAGCTGTGGCTTTAACTTTGGGGGCAACTTTGAGGGAATAAAATCTCTAAACACAAAAAACACAGGTCACACACATTTCTTACAAGAACAGTGCTTTATATAAAAGCATGGTACCTTAGGGTACCCAAGCAACAGAGGGTGTTCAGGGGTAAAAGGAGCAATAACCACCTCCATGGGAGGATTTAGCTGCATAACATTTTTTTTTTTTTGTTTTTGAGACAGAATGTCCCTCTGTCGCTAAGGCTGGAGTGCAGTGGTGCAATCTCGGCTCATTGCAACCTCCAACTCCTGGGTTCAAGCCATTCTCCTGCCTTAGCCTCCCAAGTAGCTGGAACTACAGGTGCGTGCCATCATGTCCAGCTAGTTTTTGTTTTTGTATTTTTTAGTAGAGATGGGGTTTCACTGTGTTGGCCAAGCTGGTCTCGAACTCCTGATCTTAAGTGATCCGCCTGCCTTGGCCTCCCAAAGTGTTGGGATTACAGGCATGAGCCACTGCACCCCGCCTAGCTGGATAACTTATTAACCCACCAGTTTACCCGAGCTATTCTTAAACCTCTATTTATTAGTGATTTATAGAGTTCCTGATGCTTATTTGTTTATGATGTAAAGAATCGCTGTATTTTCTTAACTTTCAGTTACCTTATAAAAGTTTCATCATTCTTTGTAGCTCTAAAGCTTTGGCATTTTTTGGAAAAGTGTCAGATCGCCCCATCCACAACCTTTTTGTTTTTTTTTTTTTTTTTTTTTGAGACCAAGTCATGCTCTGTGTGCCAGGCTGGAGTGCAAGGGCGCAATCTCGGGTCATTGCAATGTCCGCCACCCGGATTCAAGCAATTCTCCTGTCGTAGCTCCCAAGTAGCTGGGATTACAGGCACATGCTGCCACACCTGGCTAATTTTTTGTATTTTAGTAGAGACGGCATTTCACCATGTAGCTCAGGCTGGTCTCCAACTCCTGAGCTCAGGCAATCCACCCACCTCGGCCTTCCAAAGTGCTAGGATTCCAGGTGGGAGTCACCACACCCAGCCTGCCTCCACAACCTTTTATAGGTTTCAGCTTCTTGCTTCTTTTATCTGCCCAATGAATCTCACCCGTTCAGTCTATTTTCCAATTGAAATGGTTTCATCTCCTTAATAGTCTTAGTAACCTTTAAAAAGACAAAGCAGCTGGGCGCGGTGGCTCACACCTGTAATCCCAGCACTTTGGGAGGCCGAGGTGGGCGGGTCACCTGAGGTCGGGGGTTCGAGACTAGTCTGACCAACATGGAGCAACCCGGTCTCTACTAAAAACACAAAATTAGCAGGGCATGGTGACGCACGCCTGTAATCCCAACTACTGGGGAGGCTGAGGCAGAAGAATCACTTAAACCCGGGAGGCGGAGGTTGCAGTGAGCCAAGATTGCACCATTGCAGTCCAGCCTGGGCAACAAGAGCAAAACTCGAAAGAAAAGAAAACAAAAGAAAAGAAAACAAAAGACAAAGTATATAGCAACTTCCTCCAAGTCCTCAATATTTTTCATTGTATCTTCACTCTCATGTACTGCATTAAGACCACACAACCAAACGTCTTACCTTTTTTGACTAAATAAAACATTTATGACATGTACGTCATCCTTAGATTAACAATGGCTTCATCCACGGCGGATTCTCAATATATAAAATGCAGTTACTGGTAGGGTAAAAGGGTCCCATTAAATATTAGATAATGGACCCAAAATGCACTCATTTTATTCAGTTTGTTTGGGCAAATGTTATACGATGCCATAAAAATCATTCTGATTATGACTAAAGTTCATGAGGTTATCCGAGGAGATGATGAGTGAATAAAACCTGGTGCTCCCAAGACCCAATGAACACGTCGCTGGAGTTTCCCAGACATCCCCGCACAGGCTGCAAGGACTCCACTCTGTGCTGTCCAGAAGGCTCTTTGTTGTACATCCAGCACTAGTGCTGTACTAGGTTGGCTGCTGGTTATCATTTGCTTTTAGTACTGCTTTTCAGTTATGAATTACAATTAGCTTTGCTTTATCATCATCAATTTAGTTCGCTGGGTATGGTATAGTTAACCTTCTTTGTAATTTTCACCTATGATTTTCCAAAAAGTAAACTTTAAGGTATACGGGCATAGCAATTCAAACATGAATAATCTATAGTTCCGCAACCAAGTGAGACTTTAGGTGTTTTCCAACCAAATGTGCCCAAATAGTGACACTTTGTTGGGGAGATATATATATATATATATATATATATATATATATATTTTTTTTTTTTTTTTTTTTTTTGAGATGGAGTCTCGCTCTGTCGCCTAGAGCGCAAGTGGCACGATTTCTGCTCACCGCAACCTCTGCCTCCCGGGTTCAAGAGATTCTCCTGCCTCAGCCTCCCGAGTAGCTGGGATTAGATGCTCCCCCCACCACGCCCGGCTAATTTTTTTTTTTTTTTTGTATTTTTAGTATAGATGGGGTTTCAACAAGTTGGCCAGACTGGTATCGAACTCCTGATCTCAACTGATTCGCCTGCCTCCGCCTCCCAAAGGGCTAAGATTACAGGTGTGAGCCATCGCGCCAGACCGGTAAACGTGCTTCTTAATCGTCCCATTCAAATCAGCAAATTATCCTAGTAACTGTCATGCAATTACTAATTTATTTTGTTCTAATAACAAGATATATCAAGCTTATTCTCCTATATAAAATGCTAAAATTAGAAACATAAATAACTGCTTTCAAGTTTACTGCAATTTGTTTACTTCGGGCCTCTCCAACTGTTTTCTCTGAGCTTTTTCTATTGTAAAATAGAATGGAGAAGGACATTTTGGGGTCTTTTACCAATCTAACCATGCTTTCCTCAAAGGGTAATCACTGGTGTGTCTAGGTATACCAGGAAGGTTAATGCAGTTACAGCTTAAATTGATACAGCCCACAGCACATTCACGTAAACATAAAGCATAAGAACATTCCATGCCCAGGTCTGGTCTTTTGCATCTCCATCTTAGGAGGGTTTCTCAACACAGGTACTACTACTGGCACTTGGGGCTAGATAATTCTTTGTTGTAGGGGTAAGTTCAGCAGCGTCCCTGGCCTCTCGATGCCAATACCACCCTCTTGACAAGTTGTTGCAACTAAATACGTCTCCAGACATCGCCACCGGTTCCCTGGGGGCATACTGTCCCTCGCTATATATTTTTTTAAAAAGTGTTCCCCCTTACCCCGCTTAATAACCACTGCCCCATCGTGATATAACCCTAATGTGTGAGTTTTCCCCAAGTGACAGCTATGTTTAATTTAGGTTTGAAGGGGAAACTTAAGTAAGGAGCTTCTGAGAACAGAGACGTCTTGGAGGAACCGTCTAACATACGATCAAGAAAAGCAACGTTAGACTACTAAGACACCGTAGTAACTAACAATGAATGAAGTTCCAGGCACTGTGATAAGTGTTATATCTGCACGAGCTCCTTTCTTTTGCTTTTATTCGCTGGGGAAACTGATGCTCCGTGATAAACCAAGGAGCAGAGGCTGCAGCGGATAAAGTGAAGGTTGGGGGCTAAGGCTGTGCCGTCCTCCCCCTCCCTCTGGGTTTCGCGGTCTCGTTCTCCAGCACTTGAGTGCCGGAATGACCTTCATAAGTCTCTCCAGGGAGTCGCTTCAACTCCGCTCTCACGTCCTGCCCCTCTCTTCAGGTTTCCCGGTGTTAGGTCTCTTCTGCTCACAGAATGAGCTGGGCCTCCAAAGCCTGACCCAGTCTGCAGCCCACTTGGCCCGCAGGGTTCAGCTGAAGGGCAGACCGAATCCCAAGGCCCAGACCCCAGACCAGACACCTCCGTCTCGTATCACCTTGCCGACACACTGCTCCCCAGCCCTTCCCCAAACCCGCCACTTGAGCTCACCGAGAAGGACCCGGCTCTGGTTAGTAGCTTCATGATTCAAGATTGTTCTGACACACGGTCCTACCAGATTAAGGAAAGCAAGATGGTGGCGCAGGCCGCGAGTTTCCCAGCGTTCCCCGCCACCTCTTTCCCACGTCCCCTTCGTGAGGGGTACTCTCTATACTGCCGCGCTCTACTGCTCCCTGCAGAAGGTTGGACCAGTCCAATTCCTCCAAGACTCAGAATAGGGAGACACACAATTTCCCAAGTAAATATGCAGAAGATAATGTACGTCACTGCTTATTGCGTTCTTCTCCTGGCCTGAATACCCAGTATGCACCCCTTTTCTAAGTACGTCTGCAGCGGCCCGTCACAACTCCCCCCGCTACCTTGGGCTCTTCCGCTCGGGATTGTCCAATGGGACGCGCCTCTCTTGGGACTGCGCAGGCGCCCCTCGGACTGACACCTGCACTGGGGGCCCTGGGTTTCCGCGTCCTTGGACATTGGGGACTTTAGGAGACTCCTGCCATTCCGCCTTTCTGCAGAGGTACTGGGCATCGAAGCCCAGCGTAGTTGCCTCTTGCTGGGTGAAGTCCTTACTGGATCTTTAGCTCCGTGAAACAGGGGCCTTGTTCAGCATATTCGCCGCTGTGTCCCCCAGAGCAGGCCCGGGACACACCGGGAGGGTCAGCAACCTGGGGGAATCATCACAAGGTCTCTGGTCTCGTGGATCTTACGTCCTAGGCTGGGGCTACATAGAATATAAAAACTTAACTGTAGTTTTTGTGTGAGAAAAATAGAAATGTTTTGGACAGTAGGTGTGTTATGTGAGCCGAAACCGGCTGTTGGAGAAAGGCAGTCACGTGACGATATGGGGGCGCGTTCACTCCGGTCCTCAGCGAGTGTTAACCCATAAAGTGCCTTGGGCCAGGCACTGTGCTAACGCGGGAGACGTGGTCCCTGCCCTTTAGGGACTTAAGAGTTTCGTACCTTGCTACGTTGCTTCGTTGGGAAACCGACAGTATCAGCATCAATATCATTTGGGAGTTGATTAGAAATGTATAAACTCCAGGTCCCATACTGGATCCGAATCGGTGTTTTTACAAGATCCTGAGATGATTTCGTATGCACAATAGTTTCAGAAAGGCTGGTGGTGTAGACGTTACAAGGCATAGGCAAATTTATGTCCTTTTTGCCTTGTGTCTGAATTGCTCCAGGCCTACAACGGACTCGGGCTGTCTAACGATTTAAGGTCCGGGCATTAAAAACCTGGCACCAACCCAATTTCTGTGCCTGTTGGGGACACCCTCAACCCAATTCATACCATACAGTTTCCCCACGTGTGGTAGACTTAACACTAGTGGTGCATGAGATGATTTTAAGTTGGTACATAGATGAACACTTCCATTTTTTTCCTTTTAAAAATTTGTATAAATTTAAGGGGCGCAAGTACAGTTATGTTATGTGGATATATTGCAGTAATGGTGAAGTCTGGGCTTTTAGTTTACCCATCACCCAAATAATGTACATGGTGCCCATTAAGTACTTTCTCATCGTCACCTCTCTCCCACCCCTCCACCTTTCGGAGTCTCCAGTGTCTGTCATTCCACACTCTATGTCCATGTGTACATCTTATTTAGCACTGTTCCATTTTAATAATATATTTATTTTGATTAAGACAAGCAATGCTACTAGTGAATTTCCTCTTTAAGTACATTAATAAAATAATAAAAGTTGGTGTAAAAACGTTAAGTAACTTGATGATACGGATATACAGCAAAAATCAAGAATGTATTATACAGGTACCACTGAGTGAAATTTGGGAAGCAGTGCTGTGATCAAGCCACCTGCGACAGCCACGTTTTTCAGGATAAAGTTCAAGTTCATTAACATGGCATACAAAGCTGTTTCCAGTACTTCAAAATCCCATTTCCCAAGTTAGCTGCGACCCTGAGTCCAGTCATTGTAACTTCATTCAACAGTTCAGGTAAGGTAGGAGGAACACACGAGTCTCCACGATCAAGTGCACACACACACACACACACCCCTGCTTATAATGTCCTTTCATTCTTAGGTTATGACCCAATATTGGAAAGGGGCAAAAATAAATTGTTCAAAATGTGGCAGGATTTGAAACATAATTCATGACACCAGCTACATAAATCATAAAATCCCATTTGTCCATTGCAAAAGGTCCTATTAAGCATTAAACTACAAATTAGGAGTGCCATCTTGTGGACACATCTACCACTTCCACATCATGTCACTTCCTAGCCAATTCCATGGCTGCTCTCACAGTGGAGGTCTCTGCCACAGCTCTAGCATTTTATTGCAGAAGAAAACCCAGTCCTTGAACTGGTTTCTGTGTAGAACACATTGAAAGCCCTGGAAGTGGAAACCAGCAGACAGGAAGAGTAGACATGGAAGAGCAGACGAGTTCATTGCTGGAAAGCTCGAATTGTTAGTTTTGTTAACGTGGAGTCCAATTTGACTGCATGGAGCCCAACTACCTACCCTGAGCCCTCATGGTGAGTGTGTTTGTGCATGGAGTGGGAGAATGTAAAGGGAAAGGAGGCAACAGTAGGAGTAAAACACACCAAAGGAAAGTGATGTGGGTTTATACTTGGGAACAACATTACCTTGCCATCTTAGGGCTGGAGGCATTAATCATGGCTCTCCAATGCATAATTTCGATGTTGGCATTTCCTTCCCATTTCTTTCAGAATCCTACCCTGTCAAGTATTATCTCTGATGAAATATTCCCGGGGCCGGGCATGGTGGCTCATGCCTGTAATCCCAGCACTTTGGGAGGCTGAGTGGGTGGATTACCTGAGGTCAGGAGTTCAAGACCAGCCTGGCCAACATGGCAAAACCCTGTCTCTACTGAAAAAAAAAAAAATACAAAAATTAGCCGGGTGTGGTGGTGGGTCACTGTAATCCTAGATACTTGGGAGGCTGAGGCAGGGAGAATTGCTTGAACCTGGGAGGTGTAAGTTGCAGTGAACCGAGATCATGCCACTGCACTCTAGCCAAGGCAACACAGTGAGACTCTGTCTCAGGGAAAAAAAAAGGAAAAAAGAAAGTTCACATCAATTTATAATATGCTATAATTATTGTTTTTGGTCACATATATTTTTTCCATGTTTTGAGGTGAACAGATTGGTCTTCATTCTAAGACTGTGTTAACTTATATTGATTGATTCAAATTATAAATAAACCTTTCCTTCCTGTGATAAATCCAGCTTGGTCTGGATGTTTTATTCTTTTAATATATTTCTAGACCTAATTTGCTACTAATTTGTTTAGGATTTGTGCATTTATGTTCCAGAGTGATATTGGCTTTTTCATTCCCCCTATTCATGCATTTTTCTATCATAGATAAAATGAGTTAGGAAGTGTGGAAGGAAAAAAAAAATCTCAGGACCCCCAAATCACTAAGCCAAAGGGAAAATTCAAGCTGGGAATGATGTCAGACAAACCTGCCTGCCGTTTTATTCCTAAATAAGACAGCTATAAGGATAAAAAGCTACATAACCTCCCTCACAATTTGCCCACAGGGAAATTCCATGTGCATCTGAAGGTCTTTACCCTAAAACAGTTCTGTTGAATTTCACCCTGGCAATGTAAATTGATAGCTTAATTAATATTTATGTATGTATGTATGTATGTATGTATGTATGTATGTATGTATGTATGTATTTTTGAGAGAGTTTCACTCTTGTCGCCCAGGCTGGAGTAGAATGGCACGATCTGAGCTCACTGCAACCTCCACCTCCGGTTTCAAGTGGATTCTCCCACCTCAGCCTCCTCAGTAGCTGGGATTACAGGCATGCGCCACCACGCCGGGCTAATTTTGTATTTTTAGTAGAGACAGGGTTTCACCATGTTGGCCAGGCTGGTCTCGAACTCCTGACATCAGGTAATCTGCCCACCTTGGCCTCCCAAAGTGCTGGGATTACAGGCGTGAGCCATTGCACCAGGCCTGATAGCTTATTTTCACAGGTTCAGGACAAAGGACAGAACTGAAAGTCCATCTTAAACAAATGTGTATCTGATTGCTTCCTCTGCCCTATTGTTTACATTATAGTATGTAAAAATAATGAAGATTCTCTGGGCCAGACAATGACATAAGTGACTATTCCTCTGCCCATCCTCTCACATGTAAATTGTATATTCAGTGAAAGGCTGATCAAAGATTCAAGAGGATGCAACCCTTTGTCTCTTGTCTACCCACACATTTTTAAATTTTTTTTTTTCCTTTTCTTTTGAGACAGAGTCTCACTCTGTCACTCAGGCTTGAGTGCTTCCAGCACTTCCTGAACTCAAGCAGTCCTCCCACCTCAGTCTCCCGAGTAGGTGGGACCACAGGCGCATGCCACCACATCTGGCTAATTTTTGTATTTTTGATAGAGATGGGGTTTCGCCATGTTGCCCAGGCTGTTCTCAAACTCCTGAGGCCAGTCCAGTGGACTGGCCTCCCAAAGAGCTGAAATTAACATTTTAAATTTTCTTCCTTTTCACCCATATCAATCCTTTCTCCTTAAATATTGAAGCTCTCAAAATCATCTTTGGAGAAAGGCATATACATGGCTGTCAGGCGCTGATCCTTAACCTTGGCCATGTAAACTTTCCACATTGATTGAGACCTGTCTCAGATACTTTTGGTTCACAGAAGTAAATGTCTTTCCCCAGCTTTCGTATATTTCACATGCTCCCTTTGATTTTGTCAGGCTTTTATTTTATTCTTTGTTAGGGTGGGTCTATTTACATTTTTGATCTTATTCTAGGACATGATCTTTACTTCTAAGGCATGGCTTTTCTGGAGTTATAACTATAAGGGGTGCTCAGTAAGGTGTCTCTACTGTGGCTCAGTAAGAATTCCGACATTCTCTGCACTATGTAAACTCCGGGTCTACGTTTGTTACAGGTAGTTAGACAGGTATGAGCGGGGCAGGAGAGGGCTCTCCCCCCACCCACCAGGAATGTCGGGTGATGATTTGGCAGTTATCACATTGCCTCTCTAAAAGTGATAAATTGGGCTAGGTGCGGTGGCTCACACCTGTAATCCCAACACTTTGGGAGGCCAAGGCAGGTGGATCACCTGAGGTCGGGAGTTCGAGACCTGCCTGAACAACATGGAGAAACCCTGTCTCTACTAAAGATACAAAATTAGCTGGGCATGGTGGCGGGCACCAGCTACTCGAGAGGCTGAGGCAGGAGAATCACTTGAACCCAGGAGGTGGAGGTTGCGGTGAGCCGAGATTGTACCACCGCACTCCAGCCTGGGCAGCAAGAGCGAAACTCCGTCCCCCCAAAAAAACAAAAAACAAAAAACCAAGAAAACAAAAAAACGATAAATTGGAGAGGCCATTTCCTTATAGTCAACACCTGTTGCACGAAATTAACGGTGTTAATTGAATGCAGACACCAGGGAGTAGCAACTTCCTGGGCATGTGCATTAAGAAACAAAATGGCGGAGTATGACTTTCCAGGGTTACTCCACTAGAACTTCTGAGGGAAGAAAGCCTCAGATGGGCATGTGGACAACTTCCGGAACACGCTGCGCGTGCTCACCTCCAAAGGGTGAGGGGGGCACCAGGCATGCGGGCAGCCCACCCTAAGGGAAGAATCATGAGAAAGGGGCCAGCCTATAAAGTACTAGGATCACTGTTAAACAGGGCGCTTGACCTCGGTGCCTGGTTGGGTCTCTTCAAGCATACTTTCCTTTCCTTTTTTATCCTGTTCTAAAGCCTTTTAAATAATCTTCCACTCCTGCTCTGAAACCTGCCTTGGTCTCTTTTTCTGCCTTATGCCCCTCTGTTGAATTCTTTCTTCTGAGGAGGCAAGAATTGAGGTAGCTGCAGCTGCACACAGATTCACCGCCAGTAACTCAGCTATCTTCCACCGGTAACACATTCAGTTCTCAGTCCAGCAGGTGCCATTCTCTGATAGGCCTCACAGCATTTCTCCCTTTGCACATGGCACAGGCCAGCTCATGACTCACAGCAAACCCCATTCAAATTTCTGGGCCCTCGCTTCCTCTTTACCAGCACCCTGCTCTTCAAATTCTAGCTGCTTTAGCAATCCTAAACTCTCTCTTCATTGATAGCTTTTGAGGTTCAGAAGCTACAGTTCAAATAAAACTAAGATTTATTGTTTCATTTCTGCAAAAGGAAGATGTGAAGCTACACTGATTTGCCTTACTACTCGTATCTGAAATCTGGTAGAACATTAGACAGTTTCATAATTAAGTAACTGTGGGCAAAGGAGCCTAGGTGTTGCTACGGGCTTCATTTCAAACAGCAGGGACAAAAGGAAGCACCTCAAACATTAGCAGCATCAACAAAAGGTGCAGCAGCATAATGACTCACCTGTAGGTGTTGATAAGCTCATCAGCATGAGGCTCCAGTTCAAGTGAATTCAACCATTTCTTTACAGTTGGATCTGGGGCTCAGAGACTCCCCATAATGTGGCATACATGGTCATTATTTCCTGAGCAGTCATATATTCTAGCAAGACATCAAATTCAGGACAATAACCAATTCTTGACCTTAACCTAATTACAAGAATTGTATTAAGTAAAAACCCAAGTCATCTATCCCACCAGACAACATGGATAAGATGGCAAACCTACAGTCTTCCAGGCCATACTTCTAAGAGTCCTACCAAGATATTTTCTTCTCAAGGGCTACAGAATTATAGCTGTCAGATCTATTGTAGGACATTGGAATAGTAGGTTCCATAATTCAGTTTTAATGATCTTGGGGATAAAGAAGTTAGAAATGAAATTCCAGAGCCTACTCATTTTGGAGGAGTACTAGATTATGAGATGGTCTTCTCATTAATCAAGAACTCCAAGGGGAATGGCCGCCATGGATGTATTTGCACTGTTCAACCTGTACAACATCTTGTCCATATAAAGGCTGGTCCATATAAAGGCTGAACCAGAACCAAAGCCTTTCCCCACCCCGCCAACCTGCAGACTGCAGTGAGTGTTGCTTTAGCAATTAGTCAAACCCCTCTGTTGATTTACACTCAGGTGAGCATAGCCTACGAACCAGAGAAAGAGCTATAAATTCAATTTTGTTTTAATTGGAGACTTCTTATACTCCTAGACACTTCATAGAAACAAACTCAAATTCCCTCTTTATCTAAAAAAAAAAAAAAAACAGTAAGCATCTGGTGGATGTCACTTTATAACCAACAATATCCAAGTAAGGATTTGAAAACATTGAACAAGTCACCCCAAAATAGAGCAGCCTTATAGACTCTCTTCATCTTGCAATTCTACAAGAACCATCCTAGTTTTCTACTCAGTTGTCTATGAATCCTGAAGAGGTGATTAGATTTCTCATATTATTTATGGGGGACTCCAAGTATCTGCCTAGGCAAGAATCAGAAGAAAGTATCTCTGTGTCCCTCCCTCTTCACTTTATTTCTTCTTCTTTTCTTCTTTATTAGAGGGGAGACAATGGTAGAAAAGAAAACACATTATTTTTAAATAATCTTTTTTTTTTTTCTGGTCATGGACCCCAAATGTTCTTGGTGTAAAAATTCTCTTTCAACTGAAGCATATGAACTTTATTTTGGATGTCTGAAATAGTAACCCAACTCAGCCCTCCAACATTGATGATTTATATTAGATATATGTGTATGTGCATGTATATCTGCACCTGTGTGTGAGTGTGAATGTGTGTGTGGGGTGTGTGTGTGTGTATCCATGGGAAAGCTGATGTGATCCAGGCCTTATGCTCTTTATCCATAACTCAACTGCTAAAACATAAAGCTCTTGTTCTTTGGGCTGTTCCATCTGACAGCTCCATCATTACTGGATCTTTCTGTTCAAATGTCCAGAACCCTCAGGAACAGGTTCCTGTCCCAACCCTGACAAATGCTGCTCTTTCATATCTCAAGGAGAGAAAACAGGAATTTCACCAAATGTCTTCGGATTTGAGCATGCTGGATACACAGGTTGCTCATCTAAATCTGCAAAGAAGGGGACAAACGTTCTTCTTTGGGAAAATCTTTATTATGTAAATATATTTACACCAAGATATACATGCACAGGAAGGTCCCCATATGCATCCAGGTGTCATCTATGAAAGACACGAGGGTCACTGGTTGTAAATGAATCTCATGGCACCTCGTTTTCATCATCACTGGATACTTTCTCTGGGTTAGCAAAGGTCAGGAAGACTTGTTCCAGTGTGATCTGACTGACGGAATAGTCTTCTAAATCAAATTGCTCTTTAGCTTGCTCCAAAATGCCAAACACCTTTAACAACAGCAACAAAAACGCAGTTACCATTGCAATCTCCCCTTCAGCCCCCAACTCACATGAGCCTCTCCTCCACTCCCCCAATTCCTATCAAGTGTATGTTGGAAGACAGAAGGTACAGAAGGGAGAGGTGAGAAGGTGGAAGAACAGAGAATTGAGAAAGTGAGAGGAGGCCATTCTCTGTTCCCATTTGCTTGATGGATATGGAGTAATAATGGAATTCAGGACAAGAAATTGTAGCTATTGAACTCTAGGGGTGTTTGAAAAGCAACCTAATGGTGCTACTCCCCCAACAATGCCAGGTTCCCATTCCACATTCCCGAATCCCAAATACTCCCCATCGTTAGTGCTCTCTTAACATGCAATGTTAGAAGGGCAAGGTTGCTACTATCACCTTTCCCCAGCGATTGTCCTTGCTAGGAATGTAGTAGTTAAGGATCCCTTGATTCTCATGTTTTAAGACACTACCTAAGAAAGGAAAATAGGACAGGCGAATAATCTTACAGGCTTCATTTGAAATTGCCAAAATATTACTACATTTAATTATATACTGTGGAGGGGTGAATAGAGGAGGTCAATATGAAAGGAGATATGACCTGCTAACCCACTCTCTTTGGTATCCATGACATGGTTAATGCTTTCAGCAGATTTATTCCTCATGAAATCATCTTATTATATGGAGTTCATAGCAAGTATTGAAGGCAGGATTTGAGGTACAATAAATTATCAGCTGACATGCCCAATATGAAAAATCTGAGCCTTCTAAAAGTCTTATGTTTGCAGAGGGACCCAATCCAAGACAGCCTATTAGAAGTGGCTGTGGTTCACAGTACTCACGGAGAAGAATGGAGAGGAGTGAGTGAATTTAGCACCTTCAGCTGACATATCCAGATTCTCACATTGGGACCAACTTGGCTAAAAACTCAACCCATGGAGAACAAGGAAGAGCACGGGGTGGAGATGGCCCACCAAGGAGCCCCATGGAGCCAAAGGAACCCCCACCCCTAGCCAAGAGAAGCACCAAGTGATTGTGAGACCCTGCCCAGGAAACCATGCTTTTCCCATGGGTCTTTGTAACCCACAGCTCAAGAGATCCCCTTATGAGCCCACACCACCAGGGCCTTGGGTCTGATACACAGAGCTCTGTGAAGTCTTGACAGAGCATCCACTCAGGTATACACAGAGACCCAGGAGTTTTATATACTCCAGCCTTGGGATCCTTGGCAAGGTGGGAGGTCCATCTGTACATATCCCTAGGAAGTAAGCTGAATCCAGGGAGCCAAGCAGTACATTCTGCAGGCCCCACTTCCACATCACATCACAAGTTAAGACCTACTGGCTTGGAATCCCAGCCAACCAATGGCAGTGAGTTGGAGTCTCCCTGAGATGGGTCCAAGTTCCTGGGGGAGGGGCAGCTGCCATCTCTGTGGTTTGGTCAACTCAGCCACTTCAGCCTGTCAGCTTTGAAGAATACAGGCAGTCCAAACAAGGAAAGGTCCCCCACAACACAGCACACCTGCTACACCAAAAAGCAGCCAGACTGCTGCTTTGGGTGGGTCCCTAATCCCTTTCTTCCTGACTGAGTGAAACCTTCCAACAGAGGTCTCCAGCTACCTCCTACAGGTACATGTAGGCTGGTGACCAAAGGAGGGACTCCTCCCTAACTCATTCTATGAGGCCAGCATCATCCTGATACCAAAACTGGACAGAGATACAACAAAAAAGAAAACTTCAGGCCTCGATGAAAATCAGCGCAAAAATCCTCAATAAAATAAGCAAACTGAATCCACCCACACATCAAAAAGCTTGTCCACCACGATCAAGTTGGCTTCATCCCCGGGATGCAAGGCTGGTTCAACATATGCAAATCAATAAATGTGATTCATCACATAAACAGAACTAAAGACAAAAACCACATGATTAACTCAATAGATGCAGAAAAGGCCTTCGATAAAATTCAACATCCCTTCAGGTTAAAAATTTTCAATACACTAGATACTGAAGGGACATACCTCAAACTCATAAGAGCCATATATGACAAGCCCACCACCAATATCATACTGAATGGGCAAAAGCTGGAAGCATTCCCCTTGAAAGCTGGCACAAGAACAAGGATGTCCTCTCTTACTACTCTTATTCAACATAGTATTGGATACAGTATCTTGGTTGGCAGGTTTTTTTCTCTTCAGTAATTTGAACATGTCATCCCACTCTCTCCTTGCCCATGAGGTCCCTGCTGCGAAATCTGCAGCTAGCCTTATGGAATCTCCCTTATATGTTATTTGCTTTTGTTTTTTCTCTTGCTGCTTTCAGGATCCTCTCTTTGTGCTTGATTTTTGACCATTTAATTATAATGTCTTGATGTAGCCTTGTTTGTATCGAATCCGAATGCAGATATGTGACCCTCTTGTACCTGGATATTTATGTTTTTCTTAATATTTGGAAAATCTTCTGCTTTTATTTCTTTAAATAATCTAACAATTTGTTTTTTCTTCTTCCCCACAAACTCTAATAATGTAAATACTGGCTCTTTTGATGCTGTTCTATAAATCTCATGAGCTTTCTTCATTCCTCTTAATTTTTCTTTTAATTGTCTAACTGTATATTTTCAAAAAGCCTATTTGAGTTGAGATAGTTTTCTCTGCTTGATAAATTCTGCTGTTAATGCTTTCTACTGCATTCTTCATTTTATTCACTGTATATTATATATCCATGATTTCTGTTTGATTTTTTAAGAAGAAATTTCAATGTTTCTATTAAGTTACTAGTCTGGGTAATTTATTGTTTACCTGATTTTGTTGAATTGTTTTTCTGTATTATCCTGAAGTGTGCAGAGCTTTTTGATTTTGTTTTTAAGATGGAGTCTCACTCTGTTGCCCAGGCTGGAGTCCAGTGGCGCGATCTCAGCTCACCGCAACCTCCACCTTCCGGGTTCAAGCGATTCTCCTGCCTCAGCCTCCCGAGTAGCTGGGATTACAGGCACCTGCCACCATGCCTGGCTAATTTTTCTATTTTTAGTAGAGATGGGGTTTCACCATATTGGCCAGGCTGGTCTCAAATTCCTAACCTTGTGATCCGCCCGCCTTGGCCTTCCAAAGTGCTGGGATTACAGGTGTGAGCCACCGTGCCTTAGCCTATAGAGCTTTCTTAAAGTGATTTATTGATCACATGAAATCAAACTCTGACACAATAAGTCCTCAAAAATATTTGCCACACAAACGCATAAGTGAATATTCAACTTCTTAATGGACATATCCATCTACATGTGTCAAGGGCACACCATCAACACTATGACCAACACTGGGGTGATAATTTTTCCACACAGCTCGTTCTTCACATATGCTTGACCATCCATTTCATATCTGTTTTCTGATTTTCTTTTCTTTTTGCTTTTTTAAGATGAAGTCTCTCTCTGTCACCCAGGCTAAAGTGCAATGGCATGACCTCTGCTCACTGGAACCTACACCTCTCCGGTTCAAGTAATTCTCCTGCCTCAGCCTCCTGAGTAGCTGAGACCACAGGTGCACGCCGTCATGTACAGCTAATTTTTGTATTTTTAATGGATATGGGGATTCATCATGTTGACCAGGCTGGTCTTGAACTCCTGACCTCAGGTAATCCACCCACTTCAGCCTCCCAAAGTGCTGAGATTACAAGCATGAGCCACTGTACCTGACCCTGATTTTCATTCTTACTGTGTAATCAATTTTGCTATTTTCCATTGCCTAGGAGACAAATTTTCAACCCCTTAGCCTAACACACAACAGGAACTTCTGTGGTATTTTGCTCAGCCTACTAAAGTGGAAACTAAGATGAAAAGCCAGAATTATTAAAAGCCTTGCCATTGCCCACACTTTAGGTTAAGGAAAGAGAGATAAGAGACAGATCGAAATGGATGGTCTCACTTGTACTGTTCCATGTAGGCAGAGAGGTGCCTACTGAATTTAGCATGAAGAAACAGCACTCAGAAACCAAACTCCTCTTGAAAGGAGAGAAATATGTTCTTGAGAAATGTGTTAAATTGTATTTGTTGTTCTCACCATTCATATGATTTATGTCTTCAATACCAATTTTCTGTGAGTTATTGATAGGTATTGATTTTCTATAATGTTCCTTTGGCAACGTTCTTATTTGCATTTCAATACCATATCCTAGCTGAGACAGTAAAAGCATAAAGTTGCATTTGTAGTGTGAAGGAAAAAACCTTAAAATTTGACATGAATAATCTGTGAAACTAATTGAGAATTATGCTAAAATAGGACTTTAGGTATATAATTTATTTTTAGTTTTTATTTATTATCATTATTTTTTTAGAGATGGGGTCTTGCTCTGTCACCCAGACTGGAGTGCAACAGCACAATCATAGCTAATTGCAGCCTAAACCCTGGGGCTCAAGCAGTTCTCTGGACTTAGCCTACCAAGTTGCTGGAAGTACAGGCGTGAGCTACTGCACCCAACTAATTTATAAACATAAAACTGCCTTGTTAGGTGATGTAAGAGTTTGTGAGAACCTCTGTTTTTTGTGAAACTTAGCATAATCTGCCACAAGAGACTTATAGTATCAAACGTTGCCAAAGGAACATTATAGAAAATCAATACCTATCAATAACTCACAGAAAACTGCTATTGAAGACATAAATCACATGGATGGTGAGAACAACAAACATGATTTAACACATTTCTCAAACTCCTGAGCTCAAGTGACCTGCCCGCCTCAGCCTCCCAAAGTGCTGGGATTACAGGCGTGAACCACTGCACGGGGCCGATGTAATATATTTCTGACAAAGGTAGCGCAACTTAATTTACCTGGAAATGTTGTTGTAACAAAACGTTTAAAATCCTGTAATTTATCTTTAGTCTTGACCTTGACCTTGAGGATGTAAATGTTGCCAAACTTGTTCTTGAGATGCTGAGGGCTGCCCAAGCACATGAACTTCCCTTGCACCATGATGGCTAGACTGGTACAGAGCGCATCACATTCCTCCATACTTGCAAAACAAAAGGGCAGAATGTTGTAAGGGTAAAAGTAAAAAAGTTCTCTTTTGGAGGACACTGTGTAGTTCAATCAGAGCCAGAATTTTGCGACCCTATTTTCAATCAGAAGTTGTATTTTTCCAATCATAAAACTCGTCGATGGGAAGTGGGAATTTTTCAAATGAAAAAGAACATAGTGCCCAATTTTCAAATAGAGCATCTTCTGAAGTCCTGTCTTTTCCTCACTTTTTTTGTTAAACTCAGTGAGGATTTTTAGTCATTTGATTTATTAGGATTAACATGAATCCTAATTCCTAATGAGGAACTAACGTACTCAGGCAAGTTTACTGTCCAATATTATCCACTGGGCCTAAATAATTCCCTCTTACAGCCACTACAACTCTCTCGCTAGCCCTCAACCAAGCCTCCCAGTGAGCCACACCTGTGGGAGGTTATAACGATGGCTTTTCCACTTTCGCGTGTCTTTGTCACTATGTTCCAGAGCAGGCGTCGGGCTACTGGGTCCATGCCAGTTGATGGCTCATCCAGGAAGATGATTGAAGACCTTCCCATTAGGGCAATAGCAGTACTCAGCCTACGTTTGTTTCCTTCACTTCATGGCCAAAGAAGGACAGAAAAAGTGACAGAAGAAATGGCTATACATATCAGTTATGTATAGGAAAGAGTTAGTACAAATTTCCCAAATGCTGAGCGTCCCAGCAAACACTTAACATGGACATCCGCAATGCTGATTATATGTGACTTTGATTAGGTAGCAGGCCCAATTACAGATGTGTATATCAATTCGTTTAAATTTGAGATATAGAGGAGTGACTTTTATGTAATAAATTTTGGCAGCATTATCAGTGGCATTTATTTACCCATGTTCTTAGAGTGTTACAGTTTCCAAGTCACATAAATCACATCATAATTCAAAGGGCCTACATTCCTCCTTACTTGGTAGACAAAGAACTATAGGGACCCTAGAAAGAGAAGACACTCCTTTTTTTGAGGTTCAGAGGATATAGTTCAAATAGAACCAAGACTTTGCGTTTCATCTCTGCAAAGGGAAGATGTAGAACTGTATTGATTTGCCTTATTACTGGCATCTGAAGCCTAGCAGAACATTAGATAGTTTCACAAGTAGGTAATTGTGGGAAGCGGAGCTTAGGTGGAGCTGTAAGCTTCATTTCAAACAGCAAGAACAAAAGGAAGCACCTCAATGTTAGCAGCATCAACAGAAAAGAGCGGTAGCATAGTGACTCACCTGTAGGTGCTGATAAGCCTGTCAGCATGAGACTCCAGTTCCAGTGAATTCAACCATTTGTTCACATACAGCTTAATCTGGGGCTCAGAGACTCCCCATATTCTGGCATACATAATCATTATTTCCTGAGCAGTCATATATTCCAGCAAGGCATCAAATTGAGGACAGTAGCCAATTCTTGACCTTACCTAATAACAAAAATTGCCTTGAGTAAACAGCCAAGTCATCCACCCCTCTACACATCCATGGATGAGATGGCAAACCTGCAGTCCTCCAAGCCATGCTTCTAAGAGTCCTACCAAAATTATTTTTTTCCTAAAGGGCTACACAATTATAGCTGTCAGACCTGTTGTAGGACATTGGGATAATAGCTTCCATAATTCAGTTTTAATGATCTTGGGGATAAAGAAGTTAGAAATAAAATTCTAGAGCCACACAATTTGGAGGATTATTAGAATATGAGATGCTCTTCTCATTAATCAGGAACTCCAAGGAGCATGGCCACCATGATGTTTTGGCTTTGTTTAACCTTTAGAGCCATATGTATATCTTGTTCCAGAGTAAGGCTGAACCAGAAGCAAAGCCTTTCCGCATTCATCCCCAAACCAGAGATTGCAATAAATGTTGCTTTACCAATTAGTCAAACCCTTCTGTTGATTTACACTGAGGTGCACATAGCCTAAGAGCCAGAGAAAAGGCTATCAAATTAAATTAAATTAAATTACTAATTAATTTACAGTGTTTCCAAACTATTCATGCCCCCTAAACTCCTGGCATGGCACGAGACCCTGCCCCTCTGTTTGAAGTGACAGGGGCTTTAAAAGACTAGCTCCCTTTACACACCATCCTTCATTTTTCTCATTTTCCTCTTTTGGGATTCATACATTAAGTATTAGGGCATTAAAACACAACTGCATGTATAAATAAAATTATAAAGTAACCACACATGCTCAGGGAAAGACACAGGCTCAGAAAATGCCTGAGAAGAACTTATTTTCACACCCCAGGCTGATCCTAAGCACAGAGACAGCAATCCAAAAAACAAAAACAATAAATAAAAAGTAACAAACAGCAGCAAACCTAGGAGAATGAGGAAAATATAATTTCCAGAATTACCACTTTATTAGAGTCAAATGTCCAGTTTTTAATAAAACTCAGAATCATAGAGGGAAACAGGAAAGTATGACCCATCAAAGGATGAAAGGAAAAAAAAAATGAATGGAAATTGTACTGAAAAAGACATGAAGGCAGATATACTAGAAAAATACCTTAAAATATTGTCTTAACGATGCTTTAAAAACTAAATGGAGATGTGGAGGAAGTCAAGAAAATGATGTACAAACAAAATGGAAATATCAATAAGAGGTAGAAACTTTAAAAGGAAAAAAAAATTCTAGAGTGGAAAAGTATAATAACTGAAATAAAGTATTAACTGGTAGGATTGAAAGTCATGTTTGAGGCTGGGCGTGGTGGCTCACGCCTGTAATCCCAGCACTTTGGGAGGCCAAGGCAGGTGGATCATGAGGTCAGGAGATCTAGACCATTCTGGCTAACATGGTGAAATCCTGTCTCTACTAAAAATACAAAAAATTAGCCAGGTGTGGTGGCGGGCACCTGTAGTACCAGCTACTCGAGAGGCTGAGGCAGGAGAATGGTGTGAACCCGGGAGGCAAAGCCTGCAGTGAGCCGAGATTGCACCACGGCATGCCAGCCTGGGCGACAGAGCAAGACTCCATCTCAAAAAAAAAAAAAAAAAAAAAAAAAAAAAAAAAAAAGTCATGTTTGAATAGGCAGAAGAAACAATTAATTAACTTTACTGTAGGACAATGGCAATTATTTAGTCCGAGGAACAGAAAGAAAAAAGATCAAAAAAAGAAAAAAAGAAAAAAGATCAAAGAAATGTAAACAGAGCCTAAGGGACCTTTGGAATACCATCAAGTGGACTAATGTATACACTGTGGTATTCAAGAAGGAGAAGAAAGAAAAGGGCAGAGAGATAATTTGAAGAAATAATGATTGAAAACTTTCCAAATTTGATTAATAGAAACATCCAGGAGCCCAATGAACTCTAAGTAAAATGAACTCAAAGAGACCCACACCAAGACATGTTATTATAAATTTGGCAAAAGCCAAAGCCAGAGAGAGAATCTTGAAATCAGGAAGACAGAAGCCATGGATCACGTTAAAAAAAAATCTCTCAAGATTATCAGCAGATATCAGAAACTTCAGCAACCAGAGGCAATGGGCTGAACCAGAAGAAAAGCCTTTCCCCATCCACCCTCAAAACTGTTAGAAGAAGAAAACTGTCAAACAAGAATCTTGCATCTGGTAAAACTATTTCAAGAGTGAAGAAGAAATTAAGACATTATCAGATAAATGAAAGTTGATGGAGTTTGTTGTCAATAGACCTGTCCTGTAGGAAATGCTCAAGGAAGTCCTACAAGGTGAAATGAAAAGACACTGGACAATAAGTTAATGCCATAAGAAGTAAAGATCTCAATAAAGGTAAATACATAGGGAATTATAAAAGCTAATAGTATCATAACAAAAGTTTGTTACTTTACATTTTGTTTTCTACGTAATTTAAAATTTTAATGCATTTAAAATAATTATGTTTTGGGCACATAGTGTATAAAGATGTAATTTTGTGACATCAGCAACTGAAAGGGGTGGTGATGGAGCTGTAAAGGAGCAGAGTTTTTTATGTTACTGAAGTTAAGTTGATATAAATTCAAATTAGTATAACATTAGTATATTAAATGTACTGTCTGATAACTACAAAGAAAATAGTTACAGAATATTTACAAAAGAAAATGAGAAAGGAATTTAAATGTTTTACTACAAAAAAATCAACTAAATGCAAAGGAAAATAGTAATGCTGGCTGGGCATGGTGGCTCACATCTGTAATCTCAGCACTTTGGGAGGCTGAGACAGGTGGATCACTTGAGGTCAGGAGTTCGAGACCAGCCTGGCCAATATGGTGAAATCTATCTCTTACTAAAAATATAGGAAAAAACAATTAGCCTGGTATGCTGGCATCAGCCTGTAATCTCAGCTACTCTGAAAGCTGAGGCAGAAGAATCATTAGAACCCAGGAGGCGGAGGTTACAATGAGCTGAGATTGTGCCACAGTACTCCAGCCTGGGTGACAGAATGAGACTCAATCTCAAAAAAAAAAAAAAAAAAAAAAAACCAGTAATGCAGGAAATTGGGGATATAAAAGCTATAAGGCATACAGAAAAAATAGCAAAATGATGGAATAAGTTTCTCCTTATAAGTACTTTAAATATAAATACATTAAACTCTCCAATCAAAAGACAGAGATTGGCAGAACGAATTTAAAAAAAAAATGATTCAACTAGATGCCATCTCCAGGAGACTCACTTTAGATCCAAAGACATAAGTAGACTGAAAATGAAAGGATGGAAAAAAAGATATTTCATGCATTTAGTAACCAAATGGGGTATAAGGGTGGCTACACTAATATCAGATAAAATGGACCTTAAATCAAGAAAATTTAGAAGCAGCAAAGAATATTACATATTAATAAAAGGTTCAATTCAGAATGGAGATGTAAAAAGTAAAAACATTTACACATCTAATAGCAGATCCTCAAAATAGAAGAATTAAAGAAACAATTCTATAATAATAGTTGGATATTTTAATATCCTACTCTCATTAATGAATAGAACAACCAGACAGAAGATCAATAAGGATATAGACACCTTAAATAACACAATAAACCAATTAGATCTAACTAACATATGCAGAACACTAATCAACAAAAAACAGAGTACACACTCTTTTTACGTGCACATGGGACATCTTCCAGGATGAACCATATTTTAGGCTATAAATTAAATCTCAGTAGATTTGAAAAGATAAACCACCTTTTCCAACCATAATTGGATGAATTTAGGTATCATTAACAGGAAAAAACCTGGAAAATTCACAAATTTGCAGAAATTAAACTACACACTCTTAAACAACCAATGGCTAAATGAAGAAATCATAAGAGAATTTAGAAAATGCTTAGAGATGAGTGAAAACAAAGAAAACACTACACAAAAACTCATGAGGCCCAGCAAAAGCAGTGTTCAGGGGGAAATTTATAGCTATGTTCTGTCCTTGGAGCCAATGGTCAGTGTTGCCCCAAAAGTGGTGGCTGAGGAGTTCTTATAGTGGACTGCCCCACATCACCCTGAGGTAGAGCCAATTGGGATTCCAAAGAAAGAAGCCCTAGATAACCGTCCAAAACATTTGTTAGGAAAATTTACATATGAGAGTTGTGGTGTCCTTGTGATGGATAGCAAAAAAGATGTTCTACCTGGGTATGGCTATAAGGAGGGAGTTGGTTTACAGAGTGTTTAAAGAATTTGGCTCAGGGCCAGGGCTACTTTCTATGTGTTTAGCAAGATGTTTGACCTTTCAGTTTTGGGCAACAACTTAAAGAACTTCATCAGTGTCTTGGAATGTTCCTTGGCACCTTCCAGGCCCTGGCTTGTGTCCAAGCCTGTAGGAGAAGGCATAAAGCTGGCCTTGAACAGCAACTCAGTTTGGTCAAGGCACTCTGTTTTCTCAGTCAGGACAAAGATAGAAAACAGGGGAACTGGGAGCCATACAAACTATAAATGCTTACATTAAAAAACAAAGAAACAAAAATAAACATGGAAACCAGCTGTGTGATTCCTGGATGTAAGTCAAGTTTCCATGGACTCTGGCACCATGAAAAAGTGACTAATTCACATAGACCTTGCTACTTCTACATTTAAAAAAGGAGTGCCACCCCTGTATTTAAAATGAGATCTGCCAATATCCCATGAGCCATAGTTGCTGCTCAGCATGTCTCTGAGTGGGAAAAACCACAAAATATCAAGCACAAATTTGACTGATATGCATAGATTTGAACTAGTTTGGTCACCAATATGGCCTTCTATGTAATACCTTCATAACCCTGACTAGGAGTTCTTTTTCCCTATCCTCCCATAACTCGATGGTGCTGGAGACCAAGTCATCTGTCTCCTGACTCTACTATAAACACTATAGCAACCATCCCATTTTTTTTTCTCCAGGCAGAGAATGACAATACAACAACAATGACAAAAAAGGCAGCATCCTAGCAAATTATAACCATGATCCAGTTTTATATCCCTGAATATTCACTCAGTCAGGATGCTTGGACCCTGACTTCTATTTGGAAAAGATAGTTGCATTTGATATGAAGCCAGATCTCACAGTTAATATAGATTCTAAGAAGCTTAGTGGTAATGTTGTGGCACTTTCCAAGTTAATCAAAGTGAGTTTTTCTAAAGACTTATCTCTTCTCTGGATTTATTATTTTCCTCTTAATTTTTCTTGAATTTTTATGCATCTATTCTGTTCATATTGTGCAAGGTATAGGGAAATTAATAGATTGATCTATTTTTTTTCTTTTAAAAAATCAGTTACATTTCTATACGCTAACAATAAAACTCCCCAAAAGGAAATTAAGAAAACAATTCAATTTATATAGCATCAAAAAGAGTAAAATGCATAGGAATAGACTTAACCAATAAGTTAAAAGTCTCTTACACTGAAAACTATAAAAATTGCTGAAAAATTAAAGAAGACATAAATAAATAGGAATACATCCCATGTTCATGGATTGAGAAACTTACTATTGTTGTCACAAATAATCTCCAGATTCAATGCAGTTTCTATCAAAATCCTGATAACTTTTTTTTTTCTTTCTTTTTTTTTTTTTTTTTTTTTTTTTGCAGAAGTAGAAAAATGCATCCTAAAATTCATGTAGTACCTTCCGGGACCCAAATGGCCAAAACAATCTTTTGAAAGGAAGGATGAAATTAGAGGACTCATACTTTATAAATTCAAAACTTACTGAAAAGTTTCAGTAATGAAAAACTGTGTGGCATAAATACACACATACAGATCCGTAAAAGAGAACAGAGATCCAGAAATAAATCCTCAGGAAATGATCGATTAATCACACATGGGTGCCAAGACCATTCAATAGACAAAGGACAGACTTTTCAACAAACGATGTTGAGAAAACTGGATATTCACATGAATAAGATTGATGTTGGATCCTTCCCTTGCACTATATACCACAATAAACTCAAAATGGATCAAAGACCTAAACATGTTAGTTAAACTTCTAAAGCTCTTAGAAAAAAAAATAGAGGAAAAACTTCATGACATCGAATTTGACAATAATTTTGTGGATAGGACACCAAAATCACAGGCAACAAAAGAAAAATTAGATAAAATGAACTTCATATTAAAACATGTGTGCACCAAAGGATACCAGAAAAGGCAGAAAAAGCTTCTTTCTCAGGTTACACCCTCTCTTCCAGGTGGCATGTGCAGCCAATGACTGGTAGATGCAGAGATAGAAAGGCTAGCAACCTTGTTTCAATTGCAGGACTTGTGAAAGGTCATCTTGCTGCAGAGCTCTCAGTAAAATGGAGCAAGGCCTCAGGTGCAACTGAATTGCAGGTCATCTTCTCCTTCTGCCCAGTCTTGCCATCCTTACACCCTTATAGCACCTTGTCTGGCATATGTTATATGTAATGGGAAAAAATATTTACAAATCATGTATGAATTAATATCCAGAATATATAAAGGATTCCTCCAGTTCAACAGCAACTGAAACCAAACAACACAACTTAAAATCGTGCAAATGATTAATATAGGCACTTCTCCAAGAAGATATACAAATGGCCAGTAAGCACACGAAAAAAATGCCCAATATCACTAATTGTTAGGGAAATGCAAATCAAAACTACAAGGGGATACCACCTCACAGTCATTAGGATGGCTACTATTAAAACAAAAATTAAGAAGAGTTAGTGATTACGTGGATAAATTGGAACTCTTGTGCATTGCTGGTAGGAATGTAAAATGACGCAGCTGCTGTGGAATACAGTATAGAAGTTCTTATGAAAATAATCATAGAATTACTATATGATTCTGCATTCCACCTATAGGTATGTATCCCAGATAATCAATAGCAATATTTGTGTATCAATGTTGATGCATTATTCGCAAGAGCCAAAAGGTACAAACAACCCAAATGTACCATAAATGGATGAATGGAAAAGCAAAATGTTGTATACTCATACAAAGGAATATTATCAGCCATAAAACTGAATGAATTTTTTTTTTTTTGAGACAGAGTTTCGCTCTTGTTGCCCAGGCTGGGCTCACTGTAACTTTTACCTCCTTGCTTCAAGCAATTCTCCTGCCTCAGCCTCTCAAATAGTTGGGATTATAGGCACACACCACCACACCTGGCTAATTTTAGTCTTTTTAGTAGAGATGGGGTTTCACCATGTTGGCCAGCCTAGTCTTAAACTCTTGACCTCAAGTGATCCGCCCACCTTGGCCTCTCAAAGTGCTGGGATTACAGGCATGAGCCACCGTGCCCAGCCAAACTGAATGAAATTCAAATACATAGGTGAACCTTGAAGGTATTGTGCTAGGTGAAGTATATCAGATATACAAGGAAAATAGTATATGACTCTACTTACATGAGGTACCTAGTATAGTCAAATTCAAAGGAGTAAATGAAAGGATGAGGAGTTGTTGTTTAATGAGTAGAGATATTTAATTTAAGGAAAAAGTTATGAAGATGAACTTTTTTATATTATGCATTTTTCAATTTTTATATTATGCATTTTTACCACAATAGAAAGACAATGTAAAATTTTTTAAGGTCTGAATAAATGAAAATATTACCATCTGTTACATAAAATATGATAAATGTTTTAGAATAGCAAACTTGGAGAGATTCTCTGAGGCTTGAAAGAGTTCCCTCAGATTTACTGAACTTTGAATCAGTCCTTGCAAAAGGCTGACATTTTGCCCATATGCCTGCTCTTTTTTAAAATATGACATTTTGTATTAACTGTCTTTTTAGTTCACAATTTAGCTTTTGCTCCTTGGTACCAGATTCACTTAAACTTTTTCTCCATTACTCACAGTCAGGAGACTGGACTGTTTTATGCCTACATACCCTTATGTTCCCCAAGGGGACAAATGGTATGAACAAAGATAGTTAGGGAAGACCTCATGTCCCCCGACTTTTTTGCAAGGACCACCTGGCAGGAACAGATCACCTCCTGCCATCATGTATCACTCCCTCCTCTGTTTCTTTAACTCCTCCCCTTCTAGTATAAATGTGCTTGAGTTATTCACCCTATGAAATATTTTCTGTCCTTATCACAAATCTGGGTGAATTTTCATTCTTCATTTTGCCTCACAGCTAACTTTCTTCAAAGTATAATCCACATTTTTAGCTCCACTTCTGGTTACCAGATGATATGGTTTGGCTGTGTCCCCACCCAAATCTCATCTTGAATTGTAGCTCCCATAACTCCCACTTGTCATGGGAGGGACTCGGTGGGAGGTAATTGAATCACAGGGGCAGGCCTTTCCTGTGTTGTTCTTGTGATAGTGAATACATCTCATGAGATCTGATGGTTTTAATGAGAGTTCCCCTGCACAAGCTTTCTTGCCTGTCGCCATGTGAGACATGACTTTGCTCCTCATTTGCCTTCCTCCGTGATTGTGAGGCCTCCCCAGTCATGTGAAACTGTGAGTCAATTAAATCTCTTTCCTTTATAAATTACCCAGTCTCGGGTATGTCTTTATTATCAGGATGAGAACGGACTAATAAACTAGACTACTGTTTATCCCGCAGGATGCAGACTCTGCCAACTCCATTTTCCTACTTCTATGGTGATAGTGGCTGATGTGATGAAGTGAGGAGAAATGAATTCACTATTCACGCTCTTGTTACTACCACCTACTTAACCCTAGTGCAATTGCTCTTGCCAACCCCATCAATGAAGTTCTGCTTACTAAAGCCAATGTACATTATCCAGGCTTTACCTTGCCTTAGTCTTCCTGGCGTTTGACACATTTGCTAATTCTCCTATTCTTGAAATTCTCCCCACACTTAGCTTCTTTCCAAGGTTACACCCTCTCTTCCAGGTGGCATGTGTGGCCAATGACTGGCAGATGCAGAGATACAAAGGCTAGTGACCTTGCTTTACCTGGGGGACTTGTGAAAGGCCATCTTGCTGCAGAGCTCTCAGTAAGACGGAGCAAGGCCTCAGGTGCAACTGAATTGCAGGTCATCTTCTCCTTCTGCCTAGCCTTACCATTCTTACACCTTTACCATACCTTGTCTGGCATATGTTAGATGTAATGTTGAAAGAACTTGCCTTTTACTTTAACAAAGAACACAGAAGACACTCTTGTTTTAGATTCTGCTCTTACTGCTTCACTCTTCAAAAGTTTATTTCCCTCTCCAGAATCCATTGACGGCATCAACAAAATAAATATCAATACATACCATATTTCCCATCTCCCTTCCCTAGCCATCTTCCTGTTACCTGAACCTGAGTCATTCATTATGCTTCTCACATCTTAGACTGTAACAGCCTCTTACCTGTAGGATATCTTTTGTGATGCTAAAGCCATCAATCAACACATCTCCAGAGGTAGGGCTCGCTTCCCCAGTCAAAATTTGGAAAGTAGTTGTTTTTCCAGCTCCATTGAATCCAAGCAATCCAAAGCACTCCCCCTTTTGGATTGCAAGGGAGATATTTTTTACAGCCAGAATGGCTGGGCACTTAAAATATATCTTAAAAAAAAAATCCAGGAAACACAATTCAGTAAAGAATACTTATAGGTAAAGTACAATTAGTAATATCTCAGACCCCTATGGATCACTACTTGAGACAGTTTCATGATAACTCTTCTGTTCTACTGGGAGAATACATATAGAGCCCAAAGAACCACAGTGAGCCCTTGGCACCAGTGGCACACTTGTAAGTAGAAATGAAGCCAGTGTATGTTAGCCATTGAATTATATTACCTTTATGAGTTCTTTAACAAGTACTATAGAATCCAGCAACTCCTGAGGCTGCTCCAGGATTCTCTTTCTTTCGTTTTGTACATCTTCATCTTCAGATTGCCCAGATAATTCCTTGGACACTATCTCCTGTATTTTCAAAACAAAAATTATAGAGGCAGATACCCTTTAGGCATCTGTTTTAGCCTGGGTGGCTTCATAAAAGCTAAATTGAGGGATAATATTAAAAGATGTTAAAACAGAAAGTTTGAGTCATTTCTAAGAGACTTCTTGAATAGCACTTCAGCGCTCACGTATAATTTGATAAGTTGTGAGTAATGAATAATTCACTAGAGAAAGAAGAGTGAGGACCAGAGGAGAGGAAAAAGGTACTCAGATGGTAAAGAGACTATGAATTAACATGCTACGATGTGTACTTTAATACTTTGAAAGACAACTTAAAGCATTTAAAACAGAAAAACGATTTTATCACCTGGATCCTTAAGAAGAAAATCATCTCAAGAGAGTAAAAAAGCTTTTAAACATAACAGTAATGAGTTTGTAATGATAAGTGCCCTTTGAAGGGAATGGGAGCTAAGAAGTTCAGCAAGATTTAAAAGGACTTTTCCTAAGAAACTCACTGGACCCCACGGTCTATGTTTTCAAGATAAATGTTGCAGATATTAATGCTCTTTAGTCACCTTGACTAGACCAAGTAGTTTCAGGAAACTGATCCAAACATGTTAGAGCAGAAATTTGGCATAATTTTCAAGACATTTTTGTCCAGTTATTTCAGAACACATTGATTTCTGTTTTCTATAGATTAAGAAATTAGGATTACATAACTTGTTTTTTTCATGAGGTGAATCAGACACCTCATGAAAAACTGAAGCCACACTGAGATCAAACAAATATGATTTGTTACAACCACAGAATGTTCAACATATAGAAAGAATAATAAGAACTGACTCTGTTTTATGAAGGAGAGAGAAAAAGTCAGTAAGACTTGATATGGAATAATTTTGAGACTTCCAGAATAACAGTTTAACAGGTCTGTACATCTGTACCCCAGTGAAACTGGTGAAAGTTATTTTAAAATATAACCACTTAAAGCCTTTAGTAATGATCCTGCCTTAGTCCATTTTCTGTTGCTTATAACGGAATACCTAAAACTGGGTAATTTATATAAAGAAAAGCAATTTATTTATTGCAATTATGGAGACTGGGTAGTCCAAAGGCATGGCTCATCTGGTGAGGGCTTACTCCTGGTGGGGGCTTTCTACAGAGTCTGAAGGCAGCACAGAACATCACCTGGTGAGAGAGCTGACATACGTAATCTCATGCTAACATACTTACTCAGGTTGCTTTCCCTCTTCTTATAAAACTACCAGTTCCACCTCCATGTTAACTCATCAATCCATTAATCAATGGATTAATCCATTCATGAAAGCAGAGCCCTCAGCATCCAATCACCTCTTAAATGCCCTACCTTTCAATACTGCCACATTGGGGGTTCTGTTCCCAACACATGAAATGTGGGAAACACATTCAAACCATAGCGGATCCTAAGGGCATACAGCAAATGAAGAAACATTTATTCAAGGAGATCTATTAGACTTGTTAAGAACAGTGAAATCCATGGTCCACATCCTCTCCTCCCTTCCCACAGGCCAGTGTGACAGAATGTTACTCTAGGCAGGTTCAGCCAAAAATATTAGACTCCCTTTTCCCCCAGCTTCCAATCAACGGCTAAGGTATATTTCTATAAGGGGAAGAAGGTTAGCATTTCTCATCCCATCCTTAGCAACCTTTTGCAGAGGTTATGTTTTGGGTAAGTATAGCTATGACTTTGGGTCTCCCTTCTTCGACTCAGCCCCTACTCATAAGGTGAAGGCTGCCTTGGGCATGAGGTGCTATACTGGGGACTGCGCCCTGGCTCATTCATAGGGAAAGGGTTTTATGCTTGGAGAGGCAAGCCAAGAAGACCAGAGACTACTGTCCTCCACTGAACATCCAGCCCTGAAGCAGAAAAGCATTCCATGATCCCAGCTCAGAGGTTTTGCCCAGGGGGAGAGTTGGGCCATAAGACAGAGAACACCTCTGCTCTCCCCAATTTAATTGACTTAATTTGAAACAGAGGATGGAGGAAGTTAAAGCCTAAGGATGCTGTAAAAAACAGACCAGGTGCAGTGGCTCACACCTGTAATCCCAGCACTTTGGGAGGCCAAGGCGGGTGGATCACCTGAGGTCAGGAGTTCAAGACCAGCCTGACCAAAATGGAGAAACCCTGTCTCTACTAAAAATACAAAATTAGCTGGGCATGGTGGCACATACCTATAATCTTAGCTACTCAGGAGGCTGAGGCAGGAGAATCATTTGAACCCGGGAGTGGGAGGTTGCAGTGAGCTGAGATTGCACCATTGCACTCCAGCCTGGGCAACAAGAGTGAAACTCCATCTCAAAAAAAAAAAAAAAAAAAAAAAAGGAAGTTTTGATGGAAAGCAATTAAGAGGTGACTGATAGCTAGCTCCATTACAGGTATAAATCAAACCATATGCTAGGTAGTTTACTGAAGAGAACCAAGGAAAAAGACAGCTACGAAGAGCCCTCCTGGGGTAAAGATGAAGCTTAAACCCTGACTTCAAATTACCCATATAATTTAATTGGATCAGTTTTTGGAGAAATTCACACCCCAGGGCATTGTTGAAACCAATAAGAAATAAGAGATTAGTCAAGTTTAATAGCTGGATTAATATTAAACTTAGTGGAGTTTAATAGCTGGATGTAGTCATGAAAAGAGACAGTCAAGAACCCTGCAAAAATCACTGTCATCCAGGGATGACTGTGCCCATGCCCAGGTCTGCACCCTCTGAGGAACAACCTCTGAGGCTTCACACAGGAAGGGAAAGACTTCACTGAAACTGCTCAGCAAGTCACTAAACAATAAACTAGCAAACAGCAACAACTCCCTTGGTGAGAATAGTACCCACGGTTACCAACCTATATTATCAAAAAAGTTCAGAGCTCAGTTAAAAAAAAATTACAACACATGCAAAAAAAATAAAAGTTTGTGTCACATAACTTTTATGTGTCACATAACACATGTGTGTTATTAATGTCACATAACACACATTCTGTTGTGTGCAACAGAAACTGTGAAAGTGACCAGACATCAGTTGTAACAGACAAAAGCTTTAAAGTAACCATTACAAATATATTCTAAAAGTAAAGGAAACCATGCTTAAAGAAATGAAGAAAGGTATTATGGCAATGTCTTATCAAACAGAGAATAATGAGATACAGATTATTAAAAAGGAACCAAATATAGGTTCTGGAGTTGAAAAGTACAATAACTGAAATGAAAAACTCAGTAGAGGAGCTCAATAGTAGATGTGAAGAAAGAATTAGCAAACATGAAGATCGGCAGAAAGAGATAATGCAGTCTGAAGAACAAAAAGAAAACTAATGAAGAAAAACAAACAGTCTCAGGGGAATTTGGGACACCATTAGGTGTATCAACATTCCCATAATGCGTATGCCAAATAGAAAGTAGAAAAAGGAACAGAAAAGTTTTTGAAGAAGTAATGGCTAGAAACGTCCTAAATATGATGAAAAATATTAACCTACACATCAAGGGGGCTTAACGTACACCAAGCAGGATAAACACAAAGACGTCTATACATAAATATATCAGTACATTTGCTGAAAGCCAAAGACAAGGAAAAAATCTCTTGAAATAAGAAAGAGAAAAACACTCATAACCTACAAAAGAACCCCAGTAGGTTGACAACTGACTTCTTATTAGAAACAATAGAAGGCAGAAAGCAGGGGAATGACATGTACGAAGTGCTGAAAGAAAAAACAAAAACAAACAAACAGAAAACTATCCCCAAGAATCCTATGTCCAGCAGAGCTATGTTTAAACAATAAAGGCAAAATAAGGACATTACCAGATAACAATTTTAAGAAAATGTTGCTAGCCGACCTGCTTTACAGGAAATCCTAAAGGAAGTTGTTCAGTCACAAGCAATTGACCCCAGACAGAAATTTGAATCCATATTTATAAAGACATGGAATAAATATCAATAATAAATAATTATTTAATCCATGCTTATAAAGACAATTATGGAATTAAGAAATGGCATAAATGCATGTTTCTTCTCCTTTCTTCCATTAGCTGACTTAAAGAACAACTAACTGTACAAAATGATATGTATATACTTTTTTGTATGTTTGGGCCTATAACACAGAGAAATATAATATATTTGCCAATAATAGCACAAAGAAGGTGGGAGTGAGCAAATCTGTGTTCTTCTAAATAAATGACACTAGATGGTAACTCAAATACATAGGAACAAATGAAGAAAACCAGAAATGGTAAATACAATGGTTAGTATAACAAGGGCTAAAAATACATACTTGCTGTCCATTCTTCTCTTAGTTTATTTAAAAGACAAAACATTACATAAAGTAATAAGTATGATAATGTATTGCTGGGTCTATAACATGTAGATGTACTATGTATAATAATAGAAAAAAGAGGAATAATAGATAATACCGATATATAGGAATAAAGTTTTTATATCTCACTGAAATTAATTTAGCATTAAACTGAGGTAGATTTTAATAAGTTGAGTAGATTTGATAAGCGAAGCATATTGCAAGTCCTAAAACAACTACTAAGGAAATTACTCAAAAAACATAGTGAAAAAATAATTGAAAGAATTGAAATGTTACTTTATAAAATTTTCACTAATTGCAAAGGAAAGCAGCAAAGGATGAACAGAAGAACAAACAAATGATACAGAAAAAGTGTAAAATGGAAATATATCCAACTATATCAATAATGACATTAAATGTGAATGGATTAAACAATGCAAACACAAGGCAGAAACTGTCAGACTGGATTTTTAAAGCTGCAACTATATGCTGTTGTGATGGTTAATTTTACATGTCAACTTGGTTAGGCCATAACAGGCAGATATTTGGTAAAACACTAATCTAGATGTTGGTGTAAAGATATTGAAACCACCTTTGCAAAAATTATAACTGAGAAAATTATGACAGTGAAAGAGATCTAACCTAACAGACTCCATCATGCTTCTAACCTCCAAGCTGTCCTGGCTCATTCCTGGGCATAGGCTGCATTA